GACAGATGTTGGCGGGGATGCGGAGAAAGGGGAACCCTCCTACATTGTTGGTGGGAATGCAAGTTGGTGCAGCCACTCTGGAAAACAGTATGGAGTTTCCTCAAAAAGTTGAAAATAGAGCTACCATATGATCCAACAATTGCACTACTGGGTATTTACCCCAAAGATACAAATGTAGGGACCCGAAGGGGTATGTGCACCCCGATGTTTATAGCCAAACTGTGGAAAGAGCCAAGATGTCCATTGACAGGTGAACAGATAAAGATGTGGTATATATACACAATGGAATATTATGCAGCCATCAAAAGGAATGAAAATCTTGCCATTTGCAACGACGTGGATGGAACTGGAGGGTGTTATGCTGAGCGAAATAAGTCAATCAGAGAAAGACATGTATCATACGACCTCACTGATATGAAGAATTCTTAATCTCAGGAAACAAACTGAGGGTTGCTAGAGTGATGGGGGGTGGGAGGGATGGGGTGGCTGGGTGATAGACATTGGGGAGAGTATGTGCTATGGTGAACTCTGTGAATTGTGCAAGACTGTTGAATCACAGATCTGTACCTCTGAAACAAATAATACATTATATGTTAAAAAAAAAGAAGAAGAAGAAGATAGCAGGAGGGGAAAAATGAAGGGGGGGAATCAGAGGGGGAGATGAACCATGAGAGATGATGGACTCTGAAAAACAAACTGAGGGTTCTAGAGGGGAGAGGGGTGGGAGGATGGGTTAGCCTGGCAATGGGTATTAAAGAGGGCACATTCTGCATGGAGCACTGGGTGTTATATGCAAACAATGAATCATGGAACACTACATCAAGAACTAATGATGTAATGTATGGTGATTAACATAACAATAAAAAAGAATGAAAAATAAAAGATCTTATTTCCCTCATTTACTTTTTTTTCTAATGTTCTTCCTTTCTTCCTCTCGATCCAACTTTCTGAACTATATTTGTTCCCTTCTCTATGAAAAACTTCTTTTAACATTTCTTCCAAGATAGGTCTACTGGTAAGAAAAAAAAAAAAACTCAGTTTTTGTCTGAGAAAGTCTGTATTTCCTCTTTACTTTTAAAAGAATAATTACACTTAATTCAGATGGCTAAATTGATGGATTTTCTTTCAATGTGAAATATTTCACTATACTCTCTTCTTGCTTGCATGGTTTCTGAAGAAAAGTCTGATAAAATTCTTATCCTTTTTCCTCTATAGATAAGGCATTCTACCCCCTGGCTCCTTTCAATATTTTTTTCTTTGTCTGATTTTCTGCAATTTGAATATGATATGCCCACATGTAGATATTTTCTGTTTTTATCCTGTTTAGCATTTGAGCTTCCTGGACCTAAGATTTGGTATCATCTGTCATTAATTTTGGAAAATTCTCAGCCATTATTACTTCAAATACTTCTCTTCCTTTCTCTTTTTTCTTTCTGGTATTCTCATTACCTCTGTGTTACACTTTTTTTGTAATTTTCCACAGTTTTTGGAGATTCTGTTGAGTTTTTCCAATACTTTGTGCTCTTTATATTTACATTTGCAAAGTTTCTATTGACATATCTTCAAGCTCACTGACTATTTCTTGGCTGTAAAAAAGCATTCTTCATTTCAGTTGCAGTGTTTTTGTTTTCTTTTCATTCTTAAAGTTTTCATCTCCCATATTACACATCTTGTCTTGTATGTTAACTTTTCCCAACAGAGCTCTTAGCATATTAATAATAGGTATTTTAAATCTGAAGTCTGATAATTCCAAAATCTCTGCAATATCTGAGTCTGGTTCTGAGGCTTGCTCTATCTCTTTAGATGTGTTTATTCTTGCCTTTTAGTATGCCTTGTAATTTTTTTTACAAGCCAGAGATGATGTATCAAATAATAGGCACTGTTATCAGCAGGCCTTTAGTGTGAGATTTTCTTTTTACCTAACCAGAAGTTAGGTTGTGTTTAATATTTGCTATAGCTGTAGGTGTCATAGGTTTCAATTTCCCCTAATGTCCTTTCTTCTGTCTCCTGTTTTGTCTTTGGGCTTTCCTAGAAACTCCTTAAACAGTGTCTGTGTCTTGCAGCTCTCTCAGTTGTAATCCAGTGTTATTGTTGGAACACTTTTAATATGGTCATAAGGCATTGTGGAATGGAAGCACTCTATACTCTTTTTTTTTTTTATGTTATGTGAGTCACCATACATTACATCATTAGTTTTTGATGTAGTGTTCCATAATTCATTGTTTGCGTATAACACCTAGTGCTCCATTCAGTACATGCCCTCTTTAATACCCATCACCAGGCTAGCCCATCCCCCTACCCTCCTCCCCTCTAGAACCCTCAGTTTGTTTCCTGGAGTCCACAGTCTCTCATGGTTCATCTCTTCCTCCAATTTCCCCCCCTTCATTCTTCCCCTCCTGCTATCTTCCTCTTCTTCTTTCTTTTTTTTTTTTTTTTAACATATAATGTATTATTTGTTTCAGAGGTACAGATCTGTGATTCAACAGTCTTGCACAATTCACAGGGCTCACCATAGCACATACCCTCCCCAGTGTCTATCCCCCAGCGCCCCCATCTACTCTTATGAGTAAATCTTCATTTTTAGTGAGCCAGGATCCCGGGACTGTACCTTCAGAGAAGTTTCATAACCCTTTCCCCCCTCCCTCCTCATGAGAGACAGGAAAACTAGAAGGGGCTCAAATCACCCAAGTGCTCTTCTTCCAAGTCTGATAAAGCTCTGATAAAGATGTTTACCTAGAAGGCTAGTCTTTATTTCAGAAAACAGAGGCTCTGGGCATGTTTCATAATGGCTACTTTTTCCCTCCCCTTTCCAGAAGCAAGAGGAAATTTTTCTCTGATCTTTACTGTGAGAACCTAGCAGGACTCCTGAAGGTAAACTCCTGAAGTTATGGGTGCTCTCTGGACACTGGGTCCTCACCATCACTGTTGAAGAGCCCTCTACCCATTACTGGCTCTTGTGGTCATAAGGTATGATTCTCTGCATTCACCTACATCTGCAGTTTTCAGGGAGATGATTTACCTTGTGACCTCAATTATCTGGTAGATCTAAGAAGAGTTGCTGATTTTCAGTGTGTTCAGCTTTCTTCTTATCCTGATGACAGGAGTGATAACTCCCAAGATCTTCAAATGTCGTAGCAAAAACCAGAATCTTAATAATATTTTTTAATACATTTTATCTTTTGACCACATAAAAGGGTGAGGTATACAGACCTTATTATGTCAATAATAATATATATAAGGAAACAGGTTTAGAGAAATTAAATGACTTTTCCAGAGATAAATGGCTAGTATATGAAACTAACTTGGATTTTCTAGTGCCTCCCCAAACTCTTCCCATATAGACTCTTATATTTAGACATGAATGCATATGAAACAACTTGAAAGAAGAATCTTAGTTTAGTTTAAGCAGAGGATCATCCATGTTTGGGTTGGATCTGTGGCATGATGTGAAAAGCACTGGACTTGGAACATCCTGTAATAAATGTCCTCAATCCCGACTCAGCCCCCAACTCACTTTAAGATTTTAGGAAATTCACAACAATGTGAGTCTCAGTTTCTCAATGTGAATCTGAAGCAAGAATGAACCACATGATCATTGAGGTCTCCTGTAATCATGAAGTGAAACAATTCTAGGTTGGATTTAGGCCCTATATTTTGGGGGGAGGGAGAGTTTGTGAGGAAAGGGGAACTTGTTTCCTCAAAATTTTTCTGAACTCTGAATTTTTTAATTAATCTCTTCCCTTAGGTGAAAAGCCTTAGCTTCCTTAATTCTTTAAATGACATGATACTTTTCCTTCCCATCTGCTGCTTACACTATTAGGTTTTTTAAAATATTTTATTTATTTATTTACTTACTTACTTACTTACTTACTTACTTACTTACTTATTTATTTAGAAAGCATGAGCAGGGAGGGGCAGAGGGAGAGAGAGAGAGAGAGACAATCTCAAGCAGGCTTCAGACTCAGCATGGAGCCCTGTGATCATATCCTGAGCCCAAATCCAGAGTCGCCTGCTTAACTGACTGAGCCACCCAGCCGCCCCTGCGTCTTTCACTGTTGTTTATGAATATGAGTAATGTTTAAAGCAGGACTTCCTTCCAGGATACCTCATCTTTGGGCAGTCCTTTATGCTTTTTTCCTCTTGTAACTCTACAGTCATTACCAACTACTGAATTGTCTCTGTTAACTGTCACTTCCTCAGAGAGGCCTTCCTTGATCCCTTAGACTAGGACAGAACCCAGCACTTCCCCTTTTCTGAACTTATTTGTTCATATCTGTGTCTCTTGCTATTCTGGAATCCATATGAAGGTAGGACTCCTATAGGTCACTGCTGTACTCCCAGGGCTCTTGAGTCCAGAACAGTGCTGTCCAACAGAACTTTCTGCAATTATAGAAATGTTCTGTAATCTGCACGTTTGACTATTGAGCACTTAAAAAGTGTCCAGTCCAAATGAACCACTGAATTTTGATTCTAATTTGAATTCGAATAGCCATATGCAGTTAATGGCTACTTACCCGACAGTGGGGGACTAGAGCAATGTTTCTCAAAATCTAAATCGAGATGTCAGGAAATCTGTATTTTAACTCATTCTCCGGGTAATTCTTCCCAGCAATAAAATTTGACTATTGATCTAGAATGTGATTCTCAAGACCGGCTACACATTAGAATCACCTGGAGGAGAAAATGATTCCTAAGCCACATTTCCAGAGATTCTATTTCAGCTGGTCGGCTGTGTGGTCCAGGTGTTTGTATTTTAAAAACTAAACAAAACAGAAAATCTCAAGTTTCAGAGGCCTAGAATATATGTTCTTACATGGTACTCAGTACCTATTAGATAAATACACAGAAAAAAGGGTCTGGGTGCATTTAGAAAGGATTAGCGATTACAAGTGAAATCCTGTGATGGCACAGAGATGTTAGTGACATTAGTAGTTCAGATCAATCTCTTGATGTTGATCACAAGTTCAGCTTTAGATAGCCTTTTATGATTGTACGAAATTCCTTGGCCTTTTGATTCATCCATCAACAGTACAAACACTACCTAGCTCTGTGACATTTAGAGGGTGGCACGCACGGAGCTCCCTGAACAAACATCTCTTCAAATACACAAAAGCCTTTCTAGTTTGCTGATTGATTGACACACGGTCTGAGGACGCCTCCTCAGGGTCACGTGAGTCACAAGACCAGGCACTCCTGCGCTGCAGCTGGAGGAAGGCGTTTCTCAACCTGCTGCCCTGGGCGGCCTCCAGGTCTCCTTTATTGTAGCGCTCCGCCTCCTCCCGCAGGTCTGTCCGTAATTGTCCCCGCAGGAAATAATGGCTTGCCGGGCAGCCAGGTCGCGCCGAGGCACGACCTGGGTCACAGGTGCTAGATAGAGCCCTCCCTTCTCCCACCCAGTCATAGGTCATTTGTCCCGGCAGGAAGTAAAGGCCGAGCGGGCTGTCCCAGCAGCTGGGGGAATAGGCGGGTGCAGGCTCCGCAGCGGCGCAGTGGAGACTGATCGAGTGGGTGCTGAGCCCGAGGAAGTTTCAGCGTCAGCCCGAGCGCAGTGAGTACAAGCAACTCAAAGGAAACCCAGTAGCTTTGCAGCGGAGTGTCTCGTGATCTTTTTCAGAATGCGCTGATGATTAAAAAGAAAAAAATCAAAGCTCAGAATAAGTATATTCAAGCACTGAGAATTTTAGCCAAGATGCTGGCAGAGGTTGCCAGCAGAGTTGAGGAAATTAACATGAAACTAAAACTGAAAGTTGCCTTAGAACAAGCATTATTGATCAGAACGTGCCAAGTACTAACAAAAAAAGTTCTACATAGAAGTTTAAATTGACAGGAAAAATTGAGAGAAAAAAACATTTACTAATAAATGAAATAAAAGTACAAAAATAAAAATGAATGAATGTAGTTTAATAAAATCTCAGAGGACACTTGAAAGCAAGCCTTTCAAAACTACTTTTATTTAAGTGATTTGAGACTTGTTAGTTCAACAAGTCCGCACTAAAAAGAATTGGGAGTGATGCGCTAAAAGTGATATTGCTTTACTTTTGCATATAAATTTTATTGATTTAGAAAGATAGATTCTTCTTTAAAGATAGTGCATAATGCCAGCTTGCCAGCCCACACTGAAATTAGATCACTTGCTTTCTGAAACATACCAGAGCTATATGCAATAAATTTCATTTATTTGCTGGTAATAACTTTAATTAACATTGATAATGTTCAGTCAGCCGGCAAAATGCAGTTCATGCACTCTGATTAGCACTTCAAATTATTACTTCAATTGGAATGAAATCTAAGAGGTTTAGGGCTGTCAATAGTCTTTAATAAAGCCATCTTTTCACTAAAATAATTTGCCACTTCTGAAAGTTAGGCATTCTCTTATCAGTGTGCTTATACAGGTTTTGTTTCACTCTGCTTATTCTAATTTAAACGAAAAAAAAAAATTTCTTAGCTATCACTAAATCATGTGTCTTCTTAGTCCAGTGATATCCTTCCCAGATAACTCCTGTTCCTCTGACCTACTATAGTTTTGATATCTTAGCACCAGTACACCCGCTTGACTCTTGAGCAATAGTCCATGTAAGCCATTGCAGGGCTAAAACTTTCTTTGCGCCTAACAGTAAGACTATTATTTTTATTGAAGTAGTAGTATTGTGTCAGCGTTTCAATATGTCTCAGAGTCTCTTCCTCAACTACATCCCCAAAGAGGATATTGTCTGACTAGCATTTGTTTTGGTTTGTTTTAAGAAAGCACATACAATTTCAAATAGATGTTTTTCGTACGAAGATTTATTGAGTAATTTTGATGTTATCCCTGTTTTCAGTTAAATTGTTCTTAATAATGCCAAAAAATATGTATTGTAGGTAGTTCTATATTTAATATTCTCTGCAAGAACACATAAGGAACAAAACATGGAAAAATGAAACACCTTTATTTTTTTAAGATTTATTTATTTATTTGAGAGAGAGAAAGTGCACCAGCGCGAGCATGGGCAGGTGCAGGGAGGGGCAGAGGAAGAGGGAGAGAGAATCTCAAGCAGACTCCCCACTGAATGTAGAGCCCCATGCAGGGCTCGATCCCAGGACCCTGAGATCATGACCTGAGCTTAAAACAAGAGTCAGACGCTTAACTGACTGAGCCACCCAGGTGCTGCAAAATACCTTTAAAGTAAATATTGCAAAATAAAATAACAAGGAAAGGTGATTTCAGATGTACTTTATTCAACACACATCCACAAGAAGTCATCACAACATTAAATTTGGAGGGAAAAAAAGACTGGATTGATTATCTTCCATTCCAGAAGGCTTAAGGAGATGAAGTGAACCTAAAAGTCAATGTACAAAATATGATTTCAAAATGGTATTGTGAAAAGACTCTGATTACCTCCTGTGATAAAATGACTCTTTAGTGTTATTTTTTTCTCATGTAGATTATACAACTAAAAGAGTGAATTTGTTCAATAGCCTTTTCTAATGTTATGAAAAATGTCTGATTCTTGGCTATTTGTGGTTTGGGTCCTTTTCTTCACAGGGAACCAGAATTTTTTAATAAGCTTAGCAGTGCTGTCCAATAGAACTTCCTGTAATGGTGGAAATGTTCTATAATCTGCACTGTTCAGATAACCACTGGCTATATGTGACTATCAAACATTTGATATTTAATTAGTTTGACTAAGGAACTGATTTTTTTTTACTTAATTTTTTTTTAAAGATTTTATTTATTTATTTGTTAGAGAGAGAGAGCATGGGCGAGAGAGAGTGAGCAAGAGTACAAGCAGGGGTAGCTGCAGGCAGAGGGAGAAGCAGGCTCCCCGCTGAGCAAGGAGCCCGATGCGGGACCCGATCCCAGAGCACTGGAATCATGACCTGAGCTGAAGGCAGCCGCTTAACTGACTGAGCCACCGAGGCGTCCCTTTTTTACTTAATTTTAATGAAAATTTAGTTATCCACATGTGGCTAGTGGCTATGAAATTGAACAGATGGCTAACTGCCTCACATTGTTCTGCTGACCAGGTGATGGTATTGTGCATCATACCCACTGTCGATCTTGTACTTTAGGAGATTCCTTTTTTTTTTTCCTTCCAAATTTTTATTTAAATTCTAGTTAGTTAACATATAGTGTAGTATTGGTTTCAGGAGTAGAATTTAGTGATTCATCACTTACATATAACACCCAGTGCTCATCATAACTAGTGCCCTCCTTAACACCCAACCCCCATCTAGCCCATCCCCCACCACCTCCCTTCATCAACCCTCAGTTTGTTCTCTATCCTCAGAGTCTAGGAGAGGGATGCCTGGGTGGTTCAGTCAGTTAAGCACCTGACTTCGGGTCAGGTCATGATCCCAGGTCCCGGGGACCAAGTCCTACATAAGGCTCCTTGCTCAGCGGGGAGCCTGCTTCTCCCTCTGCCTGCCACCCCACCCCTCTTGTGCTCTCTCTCTCTGACAAATAAATAAAATCTTTAAAAATATATATTAAAAAAAAAAAAAGTCTAGGAGATTCCTGAAGGGATACTTCAAGGACCTAAACCTTGAAGAGATTTAAAAAATTCTTGAAGAGATCTTTAATGGATTCTTCTATCTGTTCAGTTATTTTTCTTTTTAAGTCATAAAGATACAAGGTTTCACGAACTACTTAAAGTAATACACACCATGAGGGTACTACTGATGAGGAAAGTGCCTTTGCCTCTAGGTAATCCTGAGTATGTAGCAGCAATAAAATCTACATGTGCCCTTAAGCTCCTACCTGAAATTTTTAAAAAGCTTTTGCTTTTGAGGCACTGATAGTTCTTTTTTTATGTATTTATATAAAAAAGGGGTAGAGGGAGAAAGAATCTTAAGCAGTCTCCATGCCTAAGCAGAGCCCCAAGCTGGGCTCGATCTCATAACCCTGAGACCTGAGATCATGACCTAAACTGAAAGCAAAAGTCAGATGCTTAAACTGAGCTGCCCAGGTGCCCCAGACTGGAAGTTCTGAAAGTCTTCACACATGCTCTCTCATTTGATTGTCACAACAACCAATTGAAGTAAATTGAGTCCTGGTCCATAAATCTTTTCATTATACCAATCCACCTACACAGGAGAATTTTTTTATAATATAATAAGAATTATCTGCAGGGGGCCTGGGTGGCTCAGTTTGTTAAGCATCCAGCTATTGGTTTCAGCTCAGTTTGTGATCTCAGGGTCCTGGGATGGAGACCTGCGTTGGGCTCCGAGCTCAGCGGGGAGGCTGCTTAAGGATTCTCTCTCTCCCTCTCCCCCCCACCAACTTGTTCTCTCTCTCTCTCTCTCAAATCAGTGAATGAACCTTAAAAAAAAAAAAAAATTATCTCCAGATCTTGGAAGAAGTTAGGTTTTCAAGCTCTGAAGACAAAGTTTGTTTTGGGTTTTTTTAAATTGTAGATTAATGATCAAAAACTATTTGTTGGTAAAATAAAAGAAAAAACAAATGAATAAACATGGAGTGTGAACATAATACATAATTTCATAGTGTCCTAACATTTTACCTGGAAGAAGGAATCTTAGCATACTTTCAAAAAGCTCAATAAATATGTAGAAATCAGTTTGTTCACAGATTCACAACTTCTTTTTTTTAGTTTAATTATTATTTTTTAATTTTTTAATTTTACTTTTTTAATTTTATCATGTTATGTTAATCACCACACATTACATCATTAGTTTTTGATGCACAACTTCTTAATGGTTTTGTTTTTCTTTTATTTCAGAAGCTCTTGAAAGGGACATCAAGTGTAAAGTGAACCGGGTCACTCTCAGACAGTGCTGGAACCATGAGCAGTAACGGAACAGACCCAACTATTGGTTTCATCTCCTCTTCTGTAGCTGTCCTTTTGTTCGGCTCAAACTTTGTACCACTTAAAAAATACGATACTGGTGATGGTAATTATTTTTCCTTCATGGTTAACTTTAAATTACTTTTAAATGTGAAGTTCTCTTTTTTGGTGGTGGTCTTTCTTTTTTTTAATGATGGCTACAAATTTTCTTGTACCTGGCGCCAAATGAATAGAGCTTATGATAAATCATTCGATAATGCTCATGCCAGTTGATCTGAGATTTAGTCAGTATGGAATAGTCTGAAGGTGTGTTTCATGGTAAAGCTGGGAGAGTGACTGTCAGGAAAGCTTATTAGCCTTACCTGTTATGTTTACAAAGAAGAAAGTTAGTTCTACTAATACACACTTGTTTTGAAAACATGAATTTCAAACACGCTTCGTATAATAAAGAACAGTTTGAGCACAACGTGAATTTTGTGCTTATGTGGCATTTTGACTCTGATACAACACTAGGTGAGCACAGACAACCACACCCAGATGAATAAAGATGCTTGGGAAAGCACGAGATGCGCTTGCACACACGCCCCTCAACATCCCGCAGCTCCCTCAGCACCACACCTGTTCACATCTGGTGTTAGGATCCCCCCATCCACCAGCTTCACAATAGCTCACAAGCTGCCACACTTCTGATTCCCACTCCCATAAGCAACCTTCAAGTCTTTTTCAGGTTGAGGGTGCCATATTTATTGTAATGCTTGTGAATTTCTTAACCACTTAGCCAGTGTAAAACGGTACTTTTTTTTAAAAATTAGGTTCCTGTCTTTTTTTTTTATTAGGTTCCTGTCTTTTTTTTAAATATGTTGTTGATGAAATGTTTTTTGAGCGTTGTTCCCTTTTCCCCCATAAAAGCTCTGTGGTTTTTATTATGTGATTTTGCAAAGTGCGGTGCTTTTAGGAACACAAGTGACACATTATAGTTGACCTGACCATAATGTGAACTTCAGGGAAAGAGAAGCAAGAGGCTTTTTTTTTGGTTTTTGGTTTTTGGTTTTTAATCCACCTGCCTATAATACGATAGCCAGGAGAAGGAGATGTTCCAATGTTATGCTGAACACCTGGTGGGAAGCAGTTACTTTATCACCTCATTTCCTTATATCTTGCTACTACTTAAACAATAGAATTACAAATCTTTTTCTTCCAGAGCCTTTCTTCTCTTTTTCTTTGGAGTTAGGATGGAAATGGAAACTACTAAAAGAAGAACAAAATATATACTAAGGGGTAGAGGAACTGGCTTTTAGGAGTCTCTCAACAACTGTGATCTTAGACAAGTCTTATCAGCTCTTTTGTTCTCAGTTTCTCATTTGTGAAATGGAGAACTTGTAAGATGAAGTTCGCTTTCACCTCTGTGATCTTCCTTTTTTGTCCTAGAGGCTGACAGCCATTTTTTTTTCCCTCTCTTCCACCATGAGATTGAATTGAAATAGGCAAAAATCTTCCACAGGTAGAGTCAGAAGTGCTACACTGAGTATTTCTTCCTATATCGACTTTTTCTTTAATCTTTTAATCCCTAAACCCTTGATGGAACAGAAGCCTCAGGTACACATAGACCTCATATCACCATGTCATCTTCAGCTAACTGGCAAACGGCAACCCGGAGCCCAGAAAGAAGACTGCCCTGACCCAGAATGCTAATTCTCAGGTTTGTACTGTCTGGCTCATCACAGGCATTCAACTCTAAGTGTGAGAGGTCTGCATGTGCCCATAAGTGGCTTTGTTTTTATCCCGAAGGTGGCATAAATGATCCCAAAAGGCTTAAATTACTCTTGTGCTATTCTGAAGTTCTTAATGCCCCATGTTTTGGTGAGAGATGGCGCTCGGTGTGGCATTCAAATAAAAATATATAGACTTGGTCTTGCTGGTACTCTTTGGTAGAAGATTCTAGATTTGTTTAATTAGTGAAACAAACAAAAGAACTTTAACCAGGAATGCACTATGCTTGGCATGCTTTGGAGTAAACAGCATAGGTTTAAATTCCAGCTCTACAAACCGTTAGCTGTTGAGACAAGTTGCTTCATCTCACATTCATTTTCTCCATCTTTAAACTACGGTTGACTATGACGCATAGTAGTTGTAAAAATTATAGTAAGTGTGCAAAGTACCTGCATATAGGCTTTCAATAAGTTGTGACCATTCCTATAATAACTCTTTGGTACTCCTAAGCTTTAATTTACTCAAATCAGTTTGAACCACTGAAACCAATTTCTTTTTATTTCCAGGAATGTTTCTCCAGTGGGTGCTTTGTGCCGCCATATGGTTGATTGCCCTGGTGGTCAATCTGATATTACATTGCCCTAAATTTTGGCCTTTTGCAATGGTTGGGGGCTGCATTTGGGCAACAGGTAATGCATGATATAATTTATTCTGTAATCATTTAATACTATGGTCAAAATTACTGGTTCATAATAAAAGGAGATAGCACAAACAGCAATTCTGAATAATCCTTAGGCATAGATACTAGAAATTAGTTTAGTTTCTTTCATTCAGATGCTCGATAAGTATTTTGGGTACATTTCCTGACTTTTTTCTCTTAATGATTTCTTTCTTAGTTCCTGATAGAAAATTATAGCAAAAATGTTTCAGTTGCTCTCTATCTGTTCAAGCATAACTCATATATTAGTTTAAGTGCTCCAGCCTTTCTTTCTCTATGTTAATCGGAAAATATTTTTTAAATAGTAGTCTCTACTAATATAGTATTTAAGACGTGTTCTTAAAAGTAGGAAAACAGACACATTGTCATTTCAAAAGCACTGGCAAAAAAACAAAAGCAAACAAAAATCTTCCCTTTGTTGCTTTATCAATACCTTGAATTATATCACTAGAATTTATACCTTTGTTTGACTGGTCAGGATGGTTTTCCTTCTATTAATATAAATATATCCCAGGAGAATTCTGTTCTCTTTAGCAAAAAGAATTCCAAGTATCAAGGATTTTTAGAGGTTAATTTGATTAAAAGCAAATAAATTTTAAAATGTTAAAAACTTATTGGGTACCCACTTAATTTGAATCTCTGCAGAATTAAATGATTTAGTGAAGTCCTGACTTGGAGGACAAAAGAGTTCATTTTTAAATTTCCACTGGGATTTAAATTATTATACCTCACTTGGTATGATTATGTTTATCGTGTCTACTGGGGAGAGGGAAACAGAAAGCTCCATGTAGCCTAAGATCTTTATAACAATATAGTATTTATAATTACCCAGCAGACTCCGTTGGGATTCAGTGGGGGAGGGCTGTAATTTGAGAAATGTTGCTATGGATGGATGCTATAGGTCATAGTAACTGAGTGGAAATGGGGAGTAGAGGGAAGGGAGCAGCCAATGATAATGTAGGGATTTTATCATTGAGGGATGAAAATAGAGAGAAGTATGTGTCCAAAAAGAAAAATGATGAGTTCAGTTTGGGATCTTTTGAGACTGAAGTTTTTTGGAGGTCTCTTGGTGGGAACAGAGCACTAAAACTCTGGAGAAGGTCCTGGCTAGAGCAATGGCACTGGGAGCATGTGTCTCTAATTGACAGCTGAAATCCTGAAATTAGGTCAAGTGCCCAAAGAAGACTATATATAGCAAGAGGAAGAATGTGTTCAAGGGAAAAATTTAGGGGGCACCTAAAATCCGGAGAGTATGACAAGAAAGAGTAGGCCGTGAAAGAGAGAGACAGGAGGGAATCAGGAAATGAAGGCATCTTGGAAGCCACCAGAGGAAACCTTTCCGGAGAAGGTTGTAGGACTGAGGCCAGACTGCTAAGAGGTTAAGAACTATAAAAAAATAATCATGCATTTGGCCTTGAGTGACCTTTCAGAGCACAAAGCAATGAATGCAGGGTTCTAGAAGATAAGTCAATGAGCATGGAAGAGCAAAGTCTGGGGCCATATTGGGTCAAAGACGTCTGTCAGTGCTTGGCTCTGGTTCAAGTCTAAGAGGACAGTCACTACTAATTTTATCATTGACAGTTTCTGCAAAAAGTTTTAGAATAGAGACCTATGTTAAGGATAAAGAGCATTGGTGCAATTAGGCAAAGAGCTAATTCATCATTTTTCTTTGTAGGATTTTGTTTTATGCCTAGTTCTTTTAGGAATCATAAACCTGAGTTTAATACCAAAAAAAAAACGTAATTCTTTTATTTAAAAACTGAGGAATTGTGCTTTCCTAACTTTGTCCAAATCCCATAAGCTTCATTTGAAGTTAAAAATTAATTCAATTTATACATGTATTTTTGTATTAGAAATAACATATTTTTTCCTGTATGTTACATCTCCAGGGAACATTGCTGTTGTCCCAATTATCAAAACCATTGGTTTAGGCCTTGGAATCTTAATCTGGGGATCATTTAATACCTTAACTGGCTGGGCAAGCTCAAGGTAACACAAAACAATTTCAACTAAGATTCTCTACACTGATGTAAGGCAAGTCCTAGGGATTGGGTTAGCTGAGAGGAATACCCTGGTTTTTACCCTCACAGAGATTACAGCTGGTAAGACATACACGTGAAATATGCTACTTTTAATTATTATTTGCCCTAAATTCTAATATCTGATCTAGATATTTGGTTAAGATACAGTAAGGAATTATCTCCTTGGAACAGAAGAAGGAAGAGAGGAAGGGAACTGATGTGTATTTTCCCTTTTTATTGTGTGACAATTTGCTGGACCTGTTATATGCATCATTCTCCTCTCATTTTCACAAACATGAGGTAAGCACTACCTATAATTATAAGAGAGCTGAAAGACAGGGAGATTGGGTAACTTGCTGAATATCACAGAATGAATAAGCTAGGCTTCAAACACAGGTCTTCTGGTTCTAAAGCACATATTCCTCCTGGAGCCTGGGCCAGGGTCAGCAAAATATGGCTCACCTTCCCAGCCATTTTTGTAAATAAAGTTTTATTGGAACACAGCCAAACCCATCCATTTCATATTGTCTCTGGCTGCTTTTACACTACAGTGGCAGAGCTGAGTAATTGCAAGAGACCATCTGGCCCACAAAGCCTAAAATATTTACTCTCTGGCCCTTTAAGGAAAAGTGTGCCAACCCCAGCTCTAGGGGGGTCCAGCAAGTTCACCACAAGCCCCATGGTGTCCATTTATATTTAAAGTTACATGAATAAAATTTGATAAAATTAAACATTCAGTCCCACAGCTGTACTGCCCATAGATCAAGTGCTCAATAGCCATAGACGGCTAGAAACTACCCCATTACACAGTGCACCACAGAAGACCCCCATCAGCGTAGGAACTTCTGTTTGACTGTGCTGCACTTGTTCAGCATGAAAATTAACATTCAAGTTGAGTTTGGGGAAAAGGAGTGGAAGGGAGGAGGTCACTCTTACCTTACTTTTTGGGCTCCTCTTCCCTCTCAAAGCATTATAACAACCTCAGTAAGGACAAAATGAACTAACCTCCGATCTGTTCTTTCCTGGCCTTTCCCCATGCTTCCACCAGCTTCTTACAAGTGCTATTTTCTTTTGCTTTTTCTACTTGCCTCTTTCATTCTTGCCCTGAATGGTTCACAGTAATTGTTAGTAACGATTGCTACAATGTCAAGGCATGAAAAAATATATATATATTTATAAGGTGATGCCGAAAAGTGGTGATCCTTAACCAAGCAGTTACTTAAAAGTCTGTCTCAATAAATACTATGCAAAATTGCAGCCAATTAAGTAGCATTCACTTAGCCACTAATCTATTTTGTCTTCCTTCTTCCTTAATAAGAAAGGGACACTCACAAGTACTTTTACATATACTAACTCATTTAAAATATCTTCATAAAAAGGAAGGGATATATATGTATAATAGTTATACCTATCTTATAGGTACCCCATTTTAAACATGGGGAATTGAGGCATGGTAAAGAGTTAACTTGTTCAAGTCACAATTACTAAGAGAGGGATTTAGGATTTGAATCCAGGAATCTGACCCTGAGTCCATGCTCTTGAACACTACGATGAACACGTTTTCAAAAGTACCTACTTTGATGTAACTTTCTCAATTCCAGGTTTGGCTGGTTTGGAATGGATGCAGAAGAAGTATCAAAACCGGTGCTGAATTATGTTGGAGCTGGATTATCAGTAGTGAGGTACAGAGTCGTTTCTGATTTAACTGTTCTTCCAAACATTTAGAAAACCTTTTAGAGATCCCAATGTGTTTACATTTTTTTAAACCCATATTTCATAAAAGTGACATGATTTGTCCTCAGATTCTTCATTTACATGCACAGATTAGGCTTTCAAGGACAAAAAGGGCCAACTCTGGGGTCCCAAGCCCCAGCTTTAGTTCTCAAAAGCTCTGAGACCCCCGGAAGACCGTTGAGCTGCTTTGAAGCTCGCTTTCATTTATCTGTGATCTTTAGAAAAATCATAGTACCTAGCTCATAAATTAGAATCAAATGGCACATTATTTTGCAAACTAAACAATACTGTGTAAAGAAATGTTATGCTGTCTCCCCGATGCCTCTGGAATAGCCCTTGATTCTCTCCTCTTATCGCCTCTCATTACGCACTTCCTCTTTGCCCGCCAGTTTCCACATTCCTATCCCCTCATCTCTTCTTCTTATCCCAGTCAGATAACTACTCTCTCACGTATGAAAACACGTATCCACTTAAACACGTGTTTTTGGGATGTATCTGTGTCTAGCCGTATGCACCACATGAATGAGGATGAAAATGACTTTAAATCTCTATATGGCAGTGTTCAATCAATAAAACTCCAGCAGGAATTAGGTCACTTTAAATTCAGTCCCCTTTCCCTTCTAGACTCCATTTATATTCCCTGTCAGTGCTTCACATAATGGATAGCCCTGCCTGGAAAGACTTTGGTACTTTTTTATTCTGCAGGGAAAGAACACTATATTTCTCTTCCTCCTGCAATGATGGCTTTTCCCCAGCCACATTCAGGAACAATCTCTTTGTCATGGAAATGTTGCCTAAGAGAGTGGTCCTAGGCCAACTGGAGAAGAAATAACATAGATTATTCTAAAAAAGCAGATTCCTGACATTTTTGGTTCGAGGCAATTTTATGTATTTTGCACAACTGACAGGGCATCCTAGCTTTGAATAGCACTCTCAAAAACAATTTCTTTATGCCCCCAAATTGTAATGTAGCATGCCTTCTTTTTGACTTAATAGTAATTTAAGGCCAGTTTACTCAGTCCGTCAGGCATTGTTTTTCTCCATATTTCTTCTTTCTTTAGAACGTGTACATTCTCAAAAACTGCAAATTATTCATGTCCTACCCACTTCTACCCGTATGACCTTGGGCAGATTACTTAATTTCTCCAGGCCTTGGTTTCTTCATCTGGGGCTAAAGTGAGGAAAATAATTATGCCAGCCTTATAAAATATTTTGAAGATGAAATGAAAAGAAATATGCTAAGTGCTTTGTATACTGCTAGGTATATGGCTAATGCTCTATAAATTGGGTAATTTTTATTATAATAATCATTATTTGTATCAATAGCTAGTTCATGCTCAATTGCTGGTTTCCCTTTGGGTGTGTGTTGTTCAGCTCTGTGGTAAACTAGTGCACTTGAGGATCACGCAGCTTGGTTTGGAGCTCGGTCTGTGGCACAGAAATGCAATGATCTCTTCCTGTAGTGCATTCTGGCTTCCTTCTATGTTTCTTTACCAAGAGGACCTTCTGGAAACTTTTATTTCATTATTTTAACTCCGTTAAATCAGTTTGTTCAAAGGGCATTCATTGAATAAGCTTGGAGTTTCGTGGCCATTAGTATAAGGAAATTTGGAATATGGTCACATTTGTTTGGTCACCTTCTGTTGCTTTTCTTTTTAAAATTGAAATTATTGATCTTATCCTCTGTACAGTCCAGTTTTTAAAGGATAGGCGAGACTGTTTCTAGCCTTACATTTTTCCTATATATGGTATCAGTCAGTTTCTACAACTAAAATCACTCTAAGGGGGCGCCTGGGTGTCTCAGTCGTTAAATGTCTGCCTTCGGCTCAGGCCATGATCCCAGGGTCCTGGGATCGAGCCCCGCATCGGGCTCCCTGCTCTGCCAGAAGCCTGCTTCTCCCTCTCCCAGTTCCCTCTTTTGCTGTCTCTCTCTCTGTCAAACAAATAAATAAAATCTTAAAAAAAAAAAAAGAGTGAAAAAGCGACATAACTATGTTCAGAAAGTAGCTGAGCTGCTGTTCAGCTGTTTATTTCTGGGTATAAAGTGAATATGACTGGTCTTGTTTTAGCTGAATCAGCTGACTTTAAAACTGAACTAAATCAATCTGATATGTTTGATCAGAGGTTGCAATCAAAAGTTTTAAAATTAGTTGATATTTCCTATGGTTGTGAAATGGATTCAGCCAAGCTATTATCTACTGAAGTCCTCTCCGACGTGAAATTCATTCAAGAGAAGATTTTGATGAAATCAGCTAGGACACGGGCAAGTCCTATTTTGGATCGAAGACACACTAAAGACTTTAGACATGGAAGCTGTAGAGATTCTCATAGTCTATGAAAATCTGGATATAATGAGATACAGGCTTCATTGCCAAAGCATAGAAGAGGAGAAAATTATCTAACTCTAGAACAAAAGAAGGATAAATCTCATTTCACAGACAAAGAGACAGGACAAGAACACGAGCTGATTGAGAGCACACCCCTGCTGGAATGGTTTGCTAACAACTATAACAAAATTTTGGTGCTACGTTGGAAATTGTCACAGATAAGTCACAGGAAGGATCTCAGGTTGTGAAAGGATTTGGTGGAATTAGAGGTTATCTTGCGGTACCAAGTAGATTTCCAGAGAATGGACTACCAAGGAGGAGAAGATGAATTTTTTGACCTTGATGACTACTAGGTAGTCGACGTGGGTCCGGCAAACGTGCCTCACCCTACAGCATCCAACCCAAGAAGCATACCTGTGGTGGAATCCAAACAGATCCCTGCCTTAAAATTGGGACATTTCCAGAACTTAATCCATGAGCACTGGATATTGAAAAGAAAACCGAAACAACACCAGACCCAATCCTGCACTTTGATTTGTGATGGTGTCAGTGCAACAGCCTAGAACTAAGTTCCTAAAATGCCCCTTTGGACTAATTTAGAAAAGAATCCCAGTTTTTACTTTTACTTGATGGTGAAATTGGTTGCTCTTAAGTTTTATGAAAAAAAAATGATTTTTTTAATCTTCATCCATAGAGTCAAAAATACTTTAACTACTGTAAACCTTCAAAAGTTAATAGAAATGAGATCATAAAAAAAATTTCACATCTACTTTCCCTAGTTCCATTTTTCCTCTTGCCAGTATAACCTGCTTGTATCTGCTATCAAATCAGTCATCACTCTTCTAATTAAGAACCTTGGAAACTCCCATTGAATTCAGAATAAATCTGTCTCCTTAATCTGGTATGTCCTCCACAGTCACAGATTCAACCCTTCTTCCTAGATCAGCCTTCTCCCTATATTGTCAAATCATTGATCCAGGATTATTTATCGGACCATACCCCAGACACTTCCCCCAGCCCAAAGACCTTTTCCTCAGCTTCCTTGGCCTCCCTTAAATATCAGTTGAGATTTTCCATCCTGGATTGTTTTCTTGATTTCCTTTCATTCCTAATTAGAATAAGTTGCCCCCAAATTTCCATGGCATCTTGAACTTCTTCTATTATGGAAGGGTCTGTTTTGTATTATTCATACAATTCCTTTATCCTTGAACTGTGAGATCCTGAAGGACAAAGTCTGTTATTTTCTTTGAATACCATCTCTCCTACCATCACCATCAGACTTTGTCACACAGTGTTTGACACTTAATAGGTGCTCACTAAAGCGTGTTAAATTAAGTTGTCTGGGTAAACACATACACAGAATTTCTACTAATTGTAAGATGTATAAGGTTACAAATCTAAGGGAAACTGGAAAGGTCAAAAATGTAGAGAAGCACTCCTGGGTATAACAGTTGATTTTTTAAAAACTTTCCATGCTTTTGACAATATTCATAGACTTTATCATGGACCTTTGTGTCTGACACACTGTACCAAGTTCTGTAAGTCTACAGCCCAAAAGACCTTGTGATCTATTTGGTCTTATGTTCATACACATAAGATAAATTTCATTACCTTGTCCTAACTTAGTGCCCTGTACCCCCTCTTGACCTAACTGGGCTGACTTACCTATTTTGTGACAAGCACTAGCCACACAAGCTCAAAACCACTGATTTCTTAGCCCTGATTTTTTTTTCTCACGCTCAAAACCCCCTCTCCCATCCAATAGGCTCTTTATTTCCTAACATGTTTTGAGATTTTACCAGTTCCCAAAAGTACACTAAGAATTTTGCATGCATTATTATTTAATTCTCATCACAGCTCGGTAAAGTGGGCACATCCCCATTTCTTTAGATGGAAAAAGTTGAGGCTCAGAGAGCCTAAGTGATTTGCAGGAGGGTCCTACAGTCATTTGAAGAAACACTCAAAGGCTTTCTCATTGGTACCCTTCAAGTATTTCTGACATACCATCCTGTATTGTTATTAGGAAAACACACTGGTCTATACAGGGTTGAGGGTTTTCATGGTAATTTTGAGAAGAAAATGCAATTGAGATGTCTAATAATAGCTTTGCAAATTAACATGTATATAAGCACACATTTAACTAAGATACACACATTTAGTTAGGTTTTATTGGGGTACAGTGGGTGGCTCAGTCGGTTAAGTGACTGCCTTCAGCTCAGGTCATGATCCCAGGGTCCTGGGATCGAGCCCCACATCGGGTTCCCTGCTCAGTGCTGAACCTGCTTCTCCCTCTCTTCCCCACTCGTGCTCTCTCTTTCTCTCGCTATCTGTCACTATCTCTGTCTCTCTTGCTCTCAAATAAATAAAATCTTAAAAAAATAATTAGGTTTTATGCATTCATTTTTACAGAGTGTTAAGCACTTTGAGGACCTTGAAGAAGATCTTATCTTCCATTGAATTAGAAAATCTGTAGAGAAAAAAGTTTCCAAGGACTTGTGGCAAATGGTCTGGGTTATGCGATGACTATTCTTAGTGGTGTGGGAATTCAGAGAAGAGGAAGAGTCAGTGAGGACTGAGCTGGGAGGGGGAGGTTTCTTGTCACACTCAGCACTTCAGTTCTTCTTTAGCTTGGATAAGAAGAGGGGAGTATATGCTGTGTTCAGCTAAGAAAGAGAAACAAGCAAGAGCAGGTGGTTGTGGAAGATGGCGGCGAAGAAGAGGTCGGAGCAGGGATAGGTCAGAGACGAAAGTCCCTGTAGAGAATTATGTGGAGCAGGTTATGGGGAACATAATGCAGAGGGTAATAAAACTCAAAAAGGATAGTTAAATTCGCTATAGAAGGGAATATGGAAACATACAAGTTTTTAAAGCAAGTAAGAGACTGAACTAAGGAAGCTAAGAAATTTTAAATTTGTATTCAAAAAATCACACATGATAAGCACTCGTCTGCACTTCGCTACCTACGCTATTTCAGCCTCCTCTGTATTTTGAAAACTTATATTGCTTTAACTTTTGAACCATGCAAACATGTTTTTAAAAATGAATGTCAAAGGCATACTACCAGAGTTGTTAGTCTCCTTAAGTTAGTTAATTTAATATTTTAACACATTTTAACCTATTTACATGGTTCAAAAGTCAATGGTAAGCAAAGCATTTGTTACAAAGGTACTGGACATGAATAGACAATGCATTACGTGAGAATGTCAAAGGGGGAAAAGTCATCAGGCTCATGCATGTGTCTTTATCTCTTAAAATATACTCTGAAGATCTTTCCATATCAGAGCACAGAGGGTGTCCTCATTTCTTTTTTTGTATCTGTGTAGCATTCCATTGTGTGACCATGAAGAGTGGGTCATCCAGGGGCGCCTGGGTGGCTCAGTTGGTTAAGCGACTGCCTTCGGCTCAGGTCATGATCCTGGAGTCCTGGGATCAAGTCCCGCATCGGACTCCCTGCTCAGCGGGGAGTCTGCTTCTCCCTCTGATCCTCCCCCTCTCATGCTCTCTGTCTCCCATTCTCTCTCTCAGATAAATAAATAAAAAATCTTTAAAAAAAAAAAAGTGGGTCATCTGAGTGTGGGTGTAGCAGTGTTCTCAGGCCCCAGAGTCTCCTCCATGGGGGTTGTACGGTTCTCTGCTCACCTCAGTGGTCCCTGAAGAGGCAGTGTGACAGTAATCGCCGTAGCATTAGGACTGGATTTAAGCTCTGTTTTCTCACAAAATTCAGGCAGCTTGCTATGAACCAGGGTTCTGAAAAACATCACTAAAATTTATTTTCTTTACAGTGCTTTCATATTTTTGTTCATCAAAAGTGAAATACCAAATAGCACGTGTTCTGTGGACGCCACGCCATTAATGACGGATCATGTGAGTAGAGTATGAGAAACAATATGGTTGAAACATAAAATTAAGATAAAAGGAAAATGCATAGGTTTGAAATACAGATGAGAAGGTAGTTCTTTTTTTTTTTCTTTTTTCATTCAGGGCCATCGACAATATGTTTGCATATTTATTATAGTTAGGTCTACATAGCAACCAGTCAAGACTGCCACAGAAAAGCTTCTCAGCAAACGCAAAGGTCTATTTATATCTATTAATGGTAGATCCCAACTAGAAGATGTATATACGACCCCCTATTTTGGAATGGCTTAAGGATTTCTGCAATGGGAGGATCCTAAGTACTGAAGAGGAATATGAAAGTTACTTTAGAAATAGGGAGGAGGCAGGTCTTAAAGTAGGCCTGGGAAGAGCAGTGGGGAATAGCTCAGAGGCAGCCAATGAAAGGAAAAATCAAATCATATGAAAGGAGGAGTAGGACTTAGAGTTTTTTCCTTTTTCTCTTTTGCCACATCCTGTTCCACTCAAAGGTAAAGACAAGAAATATGTAGGAAGTTGCTGTTTGACCTTGAAGAACCTTAATTAGTCTGGCGTAGCAAATCTAGATTAAACAGGGAAAACCTATAAGAGATCTGACAAAGCACAAGGCCCAGTGGCTATATATACAAAAGTGATTTCAGGGCCAGCTCCCATGACCAGGAGCCCAGACTCCAGTCCTTCCTGTTTCAAGTCTCTCTTCTATCTGCTGTGGGCCCAGTGCTATCCAGCTGCCCTGGGCAACCAGAGCCCTACACCCCGACAGACAGATGCATTGCCTCCCCGGAAGGTGCTGCTTCTACTCCTTACTTCAAAACTAACCTTTTCTTCTCCCTTTTTTCTTCCCCTCTCAAAACCCTTGTCAAATAAAGTGACTGAAACCTTAGTTAAATTGACACTAAAGTTAATAATTAGCTTAAGGATAAGAGAAAAGAGATTTATTAACCCATAGACATCTCTAATCCAGAAAATGTTGCAGAGAGAGAATGGAGGAATTGGGACAGAGTGAACATGTCCAATATTCCTTGCCTCCCCCAGGGATTCAGATACCTCCTGACCAACCACCCTTCATACCAAGGGAGAGAAAAAGAAAAATGCAACTCGGAAAAAGATACATAATAGGTTAACCACCTTGGATTTTTCTAGGCACGTTGGAAGGATATAAGCAAACCAAGTGTAAAGATACATAAACAGCGTGACTGGGTATTATGCAACCATACATTATGAGCTCCTCGTCATTGAAAGAAAGCATTATTGCTAAACTTGACTTAACACATGACAAAGAATTCAAATCTAGTTCCTTATCTCTTACAAAGGCATTAGGAGTATCACGTTAAAGAAATTTCAGCTAAAAGACAAAGATGATTACATTCAATATTAGAAATATAAATTGGCTTATAATTTTTCCTGACTTAGAATATCAACCTAAAAAAAGAATATTAACCTAATCATGAACCATGGCTGGAAATGTTTTATTAACTAATTCAGTTAAAGAAAACGAAATTTAAAAAGTACCTATCAATCTTAAGTATTCCATAGAAGAGTCTGAGTTTTCCTTGGTTCTAATTTTTTTTTTACAGATTATTAAAATATGCAGATGAAACACAAGCATTGCTAACTTCTGTTACTTTTGATAGGTGTATCAAAATAGCCATATATTAAACTGAAAAAATTTAAACAGAGAAGTCGCCAACTGCCCAACTTTTCTGAATGGAAGAGGAATAGAATCCGAAACATTTGAGTCTGGAGATATGCACAGAATCAGATTGCATAGTGTCATGTGCTCATATTTTAAAGTATGTTTGAGAAAGAAGAGAAAAACATGGAAAATCTTCTTGTCACCATGGTCATTATCAACTGAATGCTGTTTTTGTCTTGGTTTGTGCCAATATTTTCAATAGGTGATCAACAACACTCAAGATTCCTGCCCTGATTATTCCTGGGTGGATAAACTTTCCACAGTACAACAGCGCACAGTGTAAGAAGAGTTTCTGTTATTCTCTTTCATATTTGGTTAAAGCAAGGATTACCGGAGTGAAGTGATGCTCATCTAAGTGCAAGAAGCAAATGGTAACATAAGCTTTGACTCTCATAGTTCCATGGTGGACAGACTTTCTTGTGCCCTGCTGGATTTTTAGGTACAGAGGTCCGCGATCTCAGTGTTTCCAGAAATTTCTAAGTCACTCCAGTATCTCTAGCCAATAAGTAGCTGACAAAAGCATCATTTTGCAACACTTTTGATCCTGAAGTAAAAGCGGTAATACCGGCCACAGCATATAATGGCCTCCACTGGAAGTCCGTACATTCATGTGTTAGACAATTTTATAATCTCAAGATATTCATTTTCAAATATAGTAGAATATTTTGGGTCCATGTAGTTATACCCCTCACTGTCATAGAGACTGAGAGAGTTTGGCTCACCAGCAGTCCTTATATTTTCAAGGTTCTTGTGGGATGTTTTTGGATTAGCAGAGAAATATGATAATACGTAAGTGGATAGCTTGCATTTTACAATTGATGACTGTTTGGGACTTTTATGTTGTGGCACACATAAGCACTTCAAGAATATAAAGCATTTCCTCTGTTAGTATATACACTAACCTCACAGTGGGAAAGAGGCTATGCCTGGTGCATAATAAATGTTCAATAAATATTTGAGTCAATTGAATGAAAGATTGAGCTCACAAACAAGCTTTGGAAGATAAATATGTTGCTGTTTTTGCTTCAGAGTAAAACAGATCTCTCAAAAAAAAATTTTTTTTTCACAAAGCTTCTCCCTTCTAAGGGAATATTTGTTAAGAAAAACATTTTTGATTGTCTCATGATTAGCCAGACCTGGTCTATTGGTCGGTCTGTGTCTGGGACACCCCTTTCAGGACGATGGAGTCCGTTCTTCCCCATGACACAGGGATTTCCATTGTGGATAGAGCTGATTGCCAGGTTGGCCTTGTGAGTTCCTATTAAAATAGACTTTAAGAATTTATTTTTAAGCTTGGAAAGAAATTTTGTTTGTTTGTTTTATGTTAAAGATTTTATTTATTTATTTGTCAGAGAGAGAGAGAAAGTACAAGCAGGGGGAGTGGTAGGCAGAGGAAGAGGCAGACTCCCCACTGAGCAGGGAGCCCGATGTGGGACTCGATCCCAAGACCCTGGGATCATGACCTGAGCTGAAGGGAGTCACTTAACTGACTGAGCCACCCAGGCGTCCCTGTTTGGGGTTTTTTTGTTGGTTTTTGCCTAAAACTCTTTCCTGTTTCATGCCATTGCCCTTTGTATTAAGTTAAAGGGACTGTTCCAAAATATTAATATCTCTCCCTAAAATTATTGGGAACACTTACCTTATGCAAAGTCTGAGGAGTCACCTTGACTCTAGTGCTTAAGACGAAATATTTTCTTTTTACAATAGGAAGTGTTTTACCTGAAATATCCAAATTAATTAAGTCAGCACTTCTTGACCACACCCTAGTCAATGAAGGCATAGGCAAGTCCAGGGATTTCGATAGTTGTTTTGAACAAGCATGCATTTAGTACTTTGTCTCTCCTAGCCCTGTGCTGGATATTACTGAGTGTTTAAAAAAGGAGCAAAGGACATGGTGTCCCTCCACAAATAGTTCATATTTAGGGAGCCAAGTCTATTATGCCGACAGTATAATGATAGCAATAGTCACATCTATGTAATGACAATTCATAATGATAATCCATTACAATTTCTGTAAGTCGTATATTTCCAAAACTAGGCAGTAGGGGGCAAAAGTTGCACTTTTAGTTCTGATGCCACTCTGACCCTGCAGGTATTTCTTTGACTTTTGACAGTCACAGAGCTTGAGATAGATGTGTGATTTCCTCATAACTGCCTGTGATTTACACTTTGAAGCATGCTTAAGCTATGATTCCATTTGTGTGTTTGTCAGAAATATTGCTGTGGGCCAAGATTAACAGTGATATATTTGTTTTTTAAGGGGCTGCAGTCTTGCAGTGATATCTGGAATACTCTATGGGTCTACATTTGTGCCCATCATTTATATCAAGGACCACAGCAAAAAAAATGACAGCGTATACGCAGGGGCAAGCCAGTATGGTAAGAGTAAAACATTATTTTACTTTATAAATAAATTTAATACCTGTTTTTCTACTTAAGAATATAAAAAAAAAAAAGGAATGTGATCACAGTAAATCCTGGTACATAGATTTGATCTTATTTTTCATTGTAAGTGGTGAATTAGAAAACCACTGAAGACTAAAAGTAATAAAGGACCGTTTGAGTCTTTTCATATGATCATCAAAATACAAATATAATCAACTTTATTCTAGTCAGGGTTTATATAGGCTACTTAGATCTGAACACATAGTTCCTGGCTTTACAGTAAGATTTGGAGATTATTTTCCAGTTAGATAATCTCTGAGAAAATATGTATTCTTCTGCTCTTTTAAAAAAAGCTAAAGTGCAGTACATATCACTGTCAAATCAAGTAAAGGTCAAAGTATAACCTTCCTAAAGGTCAAAGTATAGCCTAGTCAGAGGATATTGTTTTTAAAGCATAGAGTACTGCATTGAAAAGCCCAACATAATGCTCCCAGATTATCTCAGTTTCTAGTGATAGATTGAGTCTATCTGGTATAAACTCAACACTCCGTGCAATCGCCCTTGTACAGGCTCATCAGGAGATGAAAGAGGGTCTACTTCAGGGGTCCTATCATTTTGTTGAAGCATGGCTTCCACCCATGAACTCATAGAAGAATGAGATCATAGGTAATAAAGTTCTAAATTGGATGATACAGAAAATTAATGTGACCTCCCTTATGTTCCAATAAGGGAGAAATTTGGAAGGCAGAAGTCATGAGGGAGAGATTGATGACAAAACTGGGATTTGAAAGACTTTGAGTGGATAGACTGCATAGACACCATTGTTTCTTCCTCCCTTTTTATATTCAGTCCAATTAGCATTCAAACCTTTTACTAACTTCTATCTTTTTTTAAAGATTTTCTACAAATACTTTTTGTGTTTTTATTGTTTTCCTCTGTAAAGGATAAGAACCAATAAAAACAGAATAACATAGGATAAATTAAAAGACAAGGAAAAACAAGAGTGAAAAAATAAAATGGAACCAGGAATGAGTCTAAAAATTATAACATATTTGTACACTTGCTAGAAATGAGCCATAAATTTGGCTCTAAGATTTCTTATAGGCACAAGGGAAATCAAATCAGTCCCACAATTCAGTGAACACAAGATAAAAAGAACTAATCATCCAGGAGTACGGTTGTTCTTGGTCCTGGGCTATAATAAATAATGCCAACAATCTCTTCACATAAATAGTACAATCAATTCTTAGAGACCTTTCTTATGACAACTTTAATGCCATCTAATAGGAACACATTTTATTCCACTTTATTAAAAAATAATTGTAGGGAGATGCAGTTTTTTATTTCGTTTATTTAACAAACACATAAGTATTACATGCCCTGTGCTAGACACTATTCTAAGCACATTTCAATAATAACTCAGTTGACCTTCATAGCAACCTTATTAGTTAGATACCATTATCATCCTTGTTTTACAGTTGAGAAAATTAAGACTGTGAGAGATCAGGTAATTGGCCCAAGTCTCAAAGTTAGCAAGTAGTGGATTGCAGATCCCACCAGATGGTCTGTGCTTTTATTAACTATGCTGTGCTGTCCCTTGTGGTAGTTCGTACATGTGTTGCTCTTATATGATCCAGAAGTAGGGTTTAAGATTTTTAGAAGAATAGACACACTCGTTGACCTTCAAGCTTTTCTCCTTAAACATGACCACACTCAACCTTTGTCAAAATTTTAGTTGAGAGAAACACTGAGTCCAATGTGACCTTCCCAGCCAAGAACCTGTGGGATACCCATCTGTATGACTAAAGGACGACCTGTATAAACAGTCAATGGGGTTGGGGTTTCTCAGATATCGGACCATCATCATGTGTCGTTAACTCCCCCCATGTAATGAGGCCTATAGTAAACAACTAAATAAAGCCCTCTTTGAGATAACTTCCTGAATATCCTTCCATGTAGCTGTCATCTGCAACAGAGATGCTGGTCTCCACATAAAATCAGCACTCCCCCATATTTTTCACATCATCCCCACTACAGTCTACTTGGAGATTTGCTACAATTGCCATTAGTAAAATTAATTCTGAAGCCTATTCTTAAAAACAAGATCATATTCACGTAATATTTAGTTTCTTATTTATCTTTCCAAGATAATCAGAAAAACCAGCCTTTTAGATCTGATTATGGTAACTAATTTACTACTTAATATTTCTAAGTTTTAAATATGTTAATTAAAAGTCTGTATAAACAGCATGTAGAAAACTAGGATGATAAAATATAATGGTTCCTTTACTTTTGAGATTAATTTTGGTGAGTTTGTTTTATTTTTAGAACCTAAATATATTTGAAATGAATAAAAGGATACATTTGAGAGTTTTATGATCTGTATTTTCAGATTTAGACTACGTTTTTGCACACTTCAGTGGCATCTTTTTTACAAGCACAGTCTATTTTCTGGCCTACTGTATAGCCATGAAAAATAACCTTAAGTTATACCCTGAAGCAGTCTTGCCAGGTAAGAATATTTACTACAGAAAATCTTCTTACTCTGTGAAGGTATTCTCTACTCACTTAGCTTGAATAATCATCTTCTGGAAACCAAGCCATCCTCTGTGTCTGTGTGTATGTTCATTCCCTATTGCTTTGGCCCAACTCACCACTAAATATGAAAGATTTAAAATCCATGAAACTTGATATGAAATGCCAGTCATTACAGAACCTGAAACTTGAACAGTGAATCTAAGATGATTTCCTGTGCCAAAATACATTGTATATTGACCATCAGACTTTATTATTTCTTCTTCATTATCTAAGGATGCTTATTAAAAGTCAGAGTCAATAGAACTTTGTAGTTACTTAGGTAAACAAACATTTTCTCTGGAAAATAAGGAGAAATTGTTTTAGAGTTTGAAAAGAGTATATGATAAATGCACATGCTTTGGACTTAATCCATTCGGCACTGGTGGTGAAAAATACATATAATTTCTCACTTATTTAGGAGTTTGCCATAAAGCAACTTGGTATATAAGTCCACAAGTAAAAAATTTTTAAGAACAAAATAAAGCATATATCAGAGATTCATTTTGAATACCTGATTCATTTAGGTCAAAGTATGCCCCTTTATACCATTATAAAAAATGATAGGGTATTTATCGAACACCTAGCTAAAGTATCCTGAAAATTTTATCTGGTATTTTCATTCAAATTCTAGGAGCTTTTTTTTTTTTTTTCCCCTTAGCTATAAGCACTCTTCTGAATTTCACATATTTTTATGTTGAAAGTTTAAAGTAAATGGTGTTCACAGAGCATGCCCAGATCCAGTATCTTCCCTAGGTCCCTCTCCACTACCCAATCTTTACATCACCTACAACTTTGGGTATTTTATTTAATGTCAATAAAATGAAAGGTTTGATAATTATACCCACAGGAGTCAAGAACAAAAAAAATGACTTGGTTTCCAAAATGATCATAAAACGATGTTGGCCAAATATGTCGATGGGAATGCATTGATATGAGCACTTTAATATTCCTACTTTATTTGGAGTGGATTTTTCAGGAGAGGAACGTGAGTTGTAAGTGTCCGCTGTTTGCGTGTGTTTCAGGATTCCTGTCAGGAGTTCTTTGGGCAATAGCCACCTGCTGTTGGTTCATAGCTAATCATGCTCTCAGTGCTGTGGTCAGTTTTCCAATAATCACTGCTGTAAGTAGCTGAATGTTTTTCCAAATTTTTGTTTTTCAAATGTAAATCTGATTTTTCTGAAGCATTCTTAGTGAATCACTGGGGACTGTCATGGAGTGCGATTTTTTAGGAGTACAATTTGTGTAACAGATTCACGTAGCTTCACCAACATCCTCTCACCTCATGTCCCTGATTGCTAAGGGAACATCACTAGCCTCGTTTAAGCAGGTCTGTTCATCTTTGATATCCTTGCAGTTTTTGTCTGGTCATTTTACCTAATGTCATTTTGGATACATTGTAATTTGCTGTTTATATATAACATACTTATCTCTGTAGAACATTTACAAATTAAAAATGCTTTTGAGTATATTCTGACAACCTTGTGAGACAGAAAGTACTTCAGACTCCTCATATGGTACTTTGGTATTTTTAAAGGCTTTCAGGAAGTCCTAAAGCAAACTGTTGTCTCTGGATAAGTTATGTGATTAAACCTTAAGTTTTGCTTTGTGCTTACAAAAGGGAGTAATACAATGGGCTAGCTAATTCTTTGTAACTCGTAACATATTATTTCCTCAGAAGAGACCAGTTATTTTCTAGTACTACATTCTTAATAGAATGTATCATATGGGGCCCTTTACAGGGGACATTGAGTAACAATAAATAATATTCCTCAAAAAAAATTACAGTAGACAGAGATTTGGTTTTTCTGTCACTGTTTCTTGTATTAAATTATGGTAAAGACTTAGGATAAAACATTAAATCTTAATTCCGTGGAAATAAATTGCTGAGGTAGGTGAGGTATGGGCAGACGGTCGATGGGAGTAATCACTATGGCTCTTGGAAACTTGCCTGTCAGAAGGATTATTCTTGAACCACTGTGATATAAGCAAAGTCTTCTCACCCACCAGGTATAGCTAGCTTCCTCTGGTGCTTGGGGGATTTTTACCTGGGAAAAACAGGTGTTTCTGGGACTTGAGGGAATTGGGCAAAATTGCTACTAGATTCTTGCTTGGTGTCACCTTTGTTACTCTAGTCAAAACAACCTTTTCCACATACAGAAAAGATTCAGTCTTTTCCTCAAGGATCTTACATTCATCTTTATTTCTTGGAAGAACTGGATTTTTTTTAACATTAGCTTTTTTCATGGAAAACTTCAAACATACCCATCACCCAGCTTCAACAATTATAAATATGATCAATTTTATTTTATCAAAAGAGCAGTTTTATAAAAAAAATTCTAGTAGCACTGTTCTTCCCAGGTACCTATATTTCCACTGTTATATGCCCACTGGTAACTAGACTGTGAAATCCTTGAAAGCAGCATCTATAGTTTATTAGCAAATAACATTTAATTAAAAAGGAAAGAGAAAGAGAGCAGGGAAGGATGGAAGGAAGGGAGGGAGGGAGGGAGGGAGGGAGGAAGGGAGGGAGGAAAAAGAGAAGGGGAGAGAAAGGGAGGAGAGATGGGAGTGGATGGGAGAGGAAGGAAAGAGAGTGGGGAGGGAGGGAAGAAAAGAAAACTGAAGAAAAAACCCATGTAGCAGGAGCAAGGGCTTGTTACCTCTGCTCCATGTCTTCACTGATAAATCTAAAAGCTGAATCATTTTATCCAGAAGTTCAGCTTCTCAGCATAGCTCAAGCTCACCTTGTTTTCAAAGGCTGATTTACAAATATGTAATTTATATTCACTTTACGAAAGGAAAATATGCAATCCCAATTGCCAAAACAGCTATGTCTCTTATCTAAGATGTCCTTCCTATTTGGCTCTCCGTTGCCTGAATCAAAGAGTATGTACACACTTTGACTTATGCTTGCGTTACTTTTGGCAAAGCACCACTTCCTATAACCACATTACTCCTGGCAATAACCCTTAGACCATGTCTAAACTAATATTTAGGAAATCATCAGCCAAAAGCCTCAAAGGTCAGTGATACCTTTTGGCATTGTTTTCTATCATGTTCTCTGAAGGGAAATAAATTTCCAGATTAGAGAGGATAAAATTCTTGAGTGATTGGCCTGATAACATTAATATTATATCCCCTTTTTCTGTTGTTTCCTTTCATCCTGTCCAATGTCAGTGTGGAATTGCCTAAAGGACCCAGATGCTTCTTGTTTGGTTTGGATTTTGAGGCTTAGGACGTTACGTCATTGATAAAAGACAGTTCCTTTGACCTATTTCTCTGGCGCTTTTGATGTTGAGTTTTCCAGACACTGATAAACAGAGAGTAATATATTTTTATTGCTTTGCTTACATGCCTGGAGTGGAGTCAAACTTTGTTGACCCAGTCATGTAGACAGTTGGAGTAGTGGAGGGGAAAAAACATGTTGGAATTGTTTATGAGAAACTCCTCCAGAGTTTGTGCAGGGCTTGAAAAGGAATCATAAAAATGCTGATACAATACACCTTCTCCACAAACACCATGATTAATCCAAATTCCAATTTTTTTCCTTCTCAGCTAAAAAATGTTAATAAACTTAAATAGCTTCAAGTTTCAAACTACAAAATCATCCTTTCTTTCCACCTCATGTCTTCTCCTTTCCCTTTCCTAGATTATTTCATTCCTGTCTGAATAAACCTATTGTTTATTTTTCCTTACATGCTTTTCTATCTTCCTATAATACTGTCGTTAGCATCCATTGAAGTTTAATGTTAGACATAGTTCATCTTGAGATTGCCTCATGCTGAAAAAAGTTATAAATTATTACCACACTTTCAGGGCGCCTGGGTGGCTCAGTCGGTTAAGCGTCTGCCTTCAGTTCAAGTCATGATCCCAGAGTTTTAGGATCAAGCCCTGCTCCAGGTTCCCTGCTTGGCCAGGATTCCACTTCTCCCTCTCCCTCTGCAGCTCCCCCTGCTTGTGCATGCTCTCTCTCTCTCTCTCAATAAATAAAATCTTAAAAAAAAATTATTCTTACACTTCCTCCTATTAATCCCATTTCTAGTATCCTAAGTTCATTAGAAAAAAATAAACCACTTGCTTATTAAAATTTTATTATAAGTAGATCACATTTATTAAAGTAGATCACATAATAGTATAGCATCGTCAATGTAATAAATATGAAAATCATAAAGAAACAAAAAATCCTCATTTTTTACCAAGTGCTACCTTAGTTTAATGTTGAGTTAGGGTTGAGATTATGAATAGTTTTCCCTGACAATACTGTTATACTGTTTTTACAGTAGAAGGTTATTCAGTGAAAGAATTAGGGCAGCTCTCCAATATACTATATTTATGTAGAGTACAAGTCACAGAAAAAATAACCAATTTAATAGTTGTTGTTTTTTTTTTATTCAAGGGCCCAGGATTTATAGCTGCAATGTGGGGTGTCTTCATGTTTAAGGAAATACAGGTATGTACAAGAAAGGGCGATTTAGAAAGCAGGTATAGAGCCAGGTAAGAAAGGTATTTCATACTATGTTTGTGTCATTTTCTGAAAACTGTATGTGACCCCTAAGCCCAGGGCAGAAAACACATGAATGGATTTGACAAACTCAGATGTTCAAAATGTTATCATCCCTAACAAGGAAAGAAAATACTAAAGATATGATAATTATTATGAAACATGTTTCTCTCCACCCCAGCCCCCAGTGGGAAAATGCTTTAGTTGACTTTTTTTTCCCTTAAGAGATTTTGGTTACATAATCCACTAAAATATGATAGAGGGAAATTTTATTTAATGTAAAATATGATAGATAAACAAGATGGAAGACTTTTTTATCCTAAAGATTAAAATATCCCTGAGGCAAATGGAATTTGAGAATAGATTTTTCTGTCGGTTCTTATGCCTCCCAAAGGCCTCCACATCAAACCAGCAATTTTATAGGAAAATAGTATGGTAGCAGGTGACTACTACCACTTCCCTTTCAAGTGTAAATGATAGTGATTTAAAACTGCATTTATTAAATAGCTGTAGGATGTGTGTGTGTGTTTTCATTAAAAAACATGTTTTAGGGGCACCTGGCTGAGCGTGGGACTCTTGATCTCGGGGTTGTGAGTTCTAGGTTGGGTATAGAGATTGCTTAAAAACAAAATATTTTTAAAACACTTTTTATTTGTTTTAGAATTTTTCCTATTTACCTTTATTTGAGGAATAATGTGAATAGTATTTTGTAATAGTTTTTACTAAAAATATACATAAATCAAAGACACTCTGTCAAGGTATCATAGATTTAATACTTGCTGTCTTCATATGCAGCTGCAATAACAAATAATTCCTGGTTCTAAAAAGATCTGATGTTCCTAATCTCTGGCAACCAAAAAGCAAACTGTGTACTTAGATAATCCTTAAAATGATTATCCAATTTTAGATTTAAAATATCATTTTATTTATTCTAAGTGAAATGTTTTGATTTAGAAAGCCATAATTTGATAATACTGGATTCTCAAATTTAAAAAATAATAAATTTGTTTAGGAGATATGCACCAAGATCTTAATTTTTGTACTTTTTAAAATACCCAAGACAACTGAAATTGCTTCCATACACATTTCTCATTTATTTTAGTCAGGGTTGCTTTCCACAAAAAATATTTCTATGTCTAAAGCATGCCGTAATCTCTTTGCAAATATTTCATCTCCCTCCTAAAGGATAATGATTGCTATTTAAGAATTGGGTATTTATTATCCAGTATAACATCCTGAAGCCTTAGAAAATCACAAGTGAGCATAGCTTATTTGCAGTTAGAGGTAAAAGGAAGCACAAATGAAGAATAGATTTAATGTAAAGGATCTGGAAAATTATTTTAGTCACTACTACTTTAATAATGATACGAACTTAAAAGCCCTCTTCCCTAGTTATAAGAACTTGAGAGAGAGAACCCTTAGCCATTGAGCCTAGTGATAATTCCTGAGTCCTCTAAAATGATACTAAAAGACATTCAAAGAAAGCTTTTTTTAAAAGACACCTTTAAAAAGATAGCTAAGATCAAATAGAGAAGAATTTTTTTTTAAATAATAAGCCATGACCACGTAGGGCTTAATTCAGGAGTGCCAGGAAAGTTCATAATATGCAAATTAATCAGGGTTATATAATATTAGGTAATCAGAGAAAAACTATGTGATAATATATATTCAAAAGACATGTGCTGAAATTAAAAACCAGTTTTGTTTTGTTTTTTTTATTTGAGAGAGAGAGCACAAGCAAAGGGGGAGGGATAGAGGCAGGGGGAGAAGCAGACTCCCCGCTGAACAGGGAGACCGATGCAGGACTCCATCCCAGGACCCTGGGATCATGACCTGAGCTGAAGGTAGATGCTTAACTGACTGAGCCACCCAGGTGCCCTAAAAACCAGTTTTTAATTAAGAGAAAACCTCTTAGAAGTGCTACAAATAGGAGAAAGCAGTCTATCAAAAAACAATAGCAAATACATAGTTAAAGTGAAAACTAAAATTCTCTCAATTATCCCTCAATAAAAGAAAAAAGAAAAAAAAGGAGTTCTCTGTAAGTTGAAAGAGATTTCTCCATCACTGTTATTATTCAGTATTTTCTGGAGATCCTAGCCAGTGTGGTAAAACAAAATTAAGAAAGAGAAATAGATGTAGGAAAGAAAATGAGAAAACTGTCATTTGCATGTAACATTATCTTCTTTAAAAATCTAAGTGAGGGGCGCCTGGGTGGCTCCTTCGTTAAGCATCTGCCTTCGGCTCACATCATGATCCCAGGGTCCTGGGATCGAGCCCCGCATCGGGCTCCCTGCTCGGTGGGAAGCCTGCTTCTCCCTCTCCCACTCCCCCCTGCTTGTGTTCGTTCTCTCGCTGTGTCTCTCTCTGTCAAAATAAATAAATAAAATCTTTAAAAAAATTAAAAAATAAAAAAATCTGAGTGTATCAGCTGAAAATCTTGAGATCCAATAAGGTCATTTGGTAAGCTGCCAAAATATAGGATAAATATAAAATCAATAGCTTTCTAATATGACACCAATAACCAATTAAAAAGAGGAAAATAGGGTTACCTGTATGGCTCAGTCGGTTAAGCGTCTGGCTCTTGATTTCAGCTCAAGTCACAATCTCAGGGTCCTGGGATGGAGCCCCACGTGGGGCTCTGCATTAAGTGGCCGGGATTCTGCACTCTGCTTGAGGATTCTGTCTCCCTCTCCCTCTGCCCCTCCCCTTTCTCGTGCTCTCTCTCTCTCAAATAAATAAATCTTAAAAAAAAAAAAAAAAGGAAAATAAATGCTGTTAAAAACTACAAAAATTATAAAATATAAGAAAATAATCAACAAGGAATTTCTAGATTTATAAAATCATTCACTTTACCACAGAAGTTTACTATAGAACATAAGAAAATACCAGAACAAATGGGGAAACTCACCACATTCCTGACGGAGCAACTCTCCGATGTGAGTAGGCGTTTGTTTTCCAGTACATTCAGTGTGATTCCTACAGAATTCCAATGGAGTTCCATCTGGAATTTTGAGAGTGAGTTCTGAAGTTTGGCCAAGTATGTTTGTAAAAATAGAGAGAGAGAAGACCAAGCTGGAAGCAAAGAATGACTTTTATTGACCTTCTGGACTTAAAAAGAAACAATTTACAAATCTGTCTGCAAACAAAACTTAAGAAGTATCCAGTGAGACTTATCATTCAGTGCAGGTGCCTAATTGCCTCTTCACAGGTGGTTTAAAGGCAAGTTTTAAATGTTTCACATGCCAACTCGTTTAAGAAAGAGCTATCAACTAAACCCTGAAGCCAAAATCCTATTAGAATTTTTTTTAAGATTTTATTTATTTGAAAGAGAGTGAGAAGGGGGGCCACTAGCAGGGGGAGTGGGAGAGGGAGAAGCAGGCTCCCCACCAAGCAGGGAGCCCGACGCCGCACTCGATCCGAGGACCCTGGGATCGTGACCTGAGCCAAAGGCAGACGCTTAACCGACTGAGCCACCCAGGCTCCCCTTGTCAGAATTTTTAAAAAGTATTTTTCTTAGAAACAAGATAAGACCCTAGAGGAAAACAAAAGCAAAACACGTCTTTACGACTTTTAGGTCCTATCAGTTACGTCTTGAAGCAGTACTCGAAGACACATATTTGAAAGTCTACAACCTACAGCAATAAGAATTTAATCCAAGAGCCAAGTGCTTTTTGTGCTAAAGAGTTTAATGATTTCAGTTAGTCTTAATGCCATCCGGGCACCAGTTGGAGGCTTTCCACTTCCAATACTCCTCTATGTCTGGTACCTGTTCGTCTTTGGGAAGTTTGCTTTAGAATTTTACTCTTAGCTATTTTAAGCTAGATGTACATTATTATCTTTAGAAACACACTTTAGACACAATGTCTACAGAAATACCAATGCAGGGAATTACAACCACAACAATTTGTAGGTCAGTACCTACTCCCAGATAAAAAATAAGATGATCTGTTATCTTAGTAGCTGTTTTAAAGATCCAAGTTAAAAACTTTGTGCTTTGGGAAGAATGTTAGCATGATCTTTCTTTTTTTTTTTTTTAAAGATTTTATTTATTTATTTGAGAGAGAATGAGAGAGAGAGAGCACACGAGAGGGAAGAGGGCAGAGGGAGAAGCAGACTCCCTGCCGAGCAGGGAGCCCGATGCAGGACTCGATCCCGGGACTCCAGGATCATGACCTGAGCCGAAGGCAGTCGCTTAACCAACTGAGCCACCCAGGCGCCCTAGCATTATCTTTCTAAGCGTTAATACTCACCTTTGACAAAGAGAAACTGTTGCTATTGCCCAAATACAATCGGTCTTTGTCTTTAGGAGACTAGGCAGTTTGGACAGATTCTTAACCTCAAAGGGGAAAAACGCTTCTCTCTGAGAACATCATTCTTCTGACTACATAGACAATAAAGGAGAGAGCTCAGCAAAGTAGTCATATAATTAGGTTGCATAAAGTGCTGATAATTGTCTTATTTAAGTCATTGTAGCAACTGTCTAATTCACAAAGGACATTTGGAAATCACCTGATTGTATTCATTCTTTGAGCAAATATTTGAGTGCCTACTCTTCATCAGTACTGGTATCTAGGTAAAGGTTGTAGAATTTAAAACTGACAAGATGTCAGGGAACCTTAAAGCTTGGCAGGAGAGAGAGAGTGAGTGTGTGTGTGTGTGTGTGTGTGTGTGTGTGTGTGTGTAAATAAGCTACTCTGTACTTGACAAAGCTTTGTGGTGCTTTCATTTGTGGAACTTGTAATAGAGTGACTTCTGGTAGTATTGATCCTCACAGTGAATCAGAAAATTCAGTTGGCCCCAGCCCAACTTAAAAGACCTCTCTCTGGGGCGCCTGGGTGGCTCAGATGGTTAAGCGTCTGCCTTCGGCTCAGGTCATGATCTCAGGGTCCTGGGATCGAGTCCCACATCAGGTTCCCTGCTCAGTGCAGAGCCTGCTTCTCCCTCTCCCTCTGCCACTCCCTCTGCTTGTGCTCTTCTATCTCTCTGTCAAATAAATAAATAAAATCTTTAAAAAAAAAAAAAAAGACCTCTCTCTGGTCATCAAATAGAGGTCATTTAATCCAGTTCTTCCCAATTCTTTATGAATTTGAAGAAAGAGGATATATGCTTTTTGGAATTTGGACTATGTATTAATTGGCATTAATCTTAATAAGAGATAAAAATAATATTATCGGGCGCCTGGGTGGCTCAGTTGGTTAAGCGACTGCCTTCGGCTCAGGTCATGATCCTGGAGTCCCGGGATCGAGTCCTGCATCGGGCTCCCTGCTCAGTGAGGAGCCTGCTTCTCCCTCTGACCCTCCCCCCTGTCATGTGCTCTCTCTCTCTCATTCTCTCTCTCAAATAAATAAATAAAATCTTAAAAAAAAAAGATAAAAATAATATTATATGATTTGACTGTCAGGAGATCTCAGTGTTGTTTTAGAATTTATATCTAAAGTTAGGGAGGTACTGGTCCTGTTTTACTTTGTGATGTTCAAACCTTGCCTTAGAGCATCAGGACTTATATTTAAAGGGGGACATAGACAGCGTGGCAACCGTTCAGATGGGAACAGCCAGGGAGCTTCAAAGTATTTCATATGAAACATGGTCAAAGGAGCTAAAATACTGATCCGGAAAAAAAAAAAAAAAAAAGCTTTAAGAACATAAGACAGTTACTTTTTAATGTTTGAGGGTTTATCTTGTGGGAGAGAGATTAGAATCAATCTATCTGTACCCCTGGAGATAGATAGAACTTATAGTAAATAGGGGCACCTGGGTGGCTCAGTTGGTTAAGTGTCTGCCTTCAGCTCAGGTCACAATCGCAGGGTCCTGGGATCGAGCCCCACATCAGGCTCCCTGCTCAGCGGGGAGTCTGCTTCTCCCTCTCCCCGCTTGTGCTTTTTTTCTCGTTCTGTCTCTCTCAAATAAATAAATATTTTTTTAAAAAAGGAACTTACAGTAAATAAAATCTCTCTACTTAACACAGAAAGGTACTTCTTTGTTAGGGGCACCTGAGTAGCTTAGCCAGTTAGGCGTCGGACTCTCAATTTTAGCTCAGGTCATGATCTCAGGGTTGTGCGTTGGAGCCTGGTGGTCGGTCAAGCTCTGCACTCAGTGAGGAGTCTTTTTGAGATTCTCTCCCTCTGCCCCTTCCCCCTCTCTAAAATAAATAATATATCTTAAAAAAATAAGATATTTCTTTGTTAATCAAAGATGGACTGGCTACATTGGGAAGTGGTTGTTAGTGTGTCCCATCTTTAAGACCAGTGCACCTACCCGTAGCTGGGCAAGACAAATTTAGTCTCTCTGTTTCTTCCTCACCCTTCAGATCCATCTCTCTCTCTCCATCTGCACCTTATCGTCTGTGCCCAGGAAGGCTGTAGTTGCCTCCTTCATTATCTCCTTGCATCCATCTGGACCCCTCCAATCTGTTCACCATCTGCAAGAGAAGAGTGGGTTTTATGAAATGTGAATCCCATCTTTTCACCATATCTGGCTGCCTGTTTCTTTAATGCCTTCCTATTACTTGGAAAAATAAAACCCCAAAGTCTACGTGGCCTATGAGACCCCCATAAGCTCGGGCCATAGCCCTCCAACCTGGTTTTGCTCCACTTAACTCTCAGAGCTGTGGTCACATTGACTTCCTTTCAGTCCCTGGCAAGTATCACACTTCCTCTTACAACAGAGCTTTGCACATAAAATGCCTTCTACCTGGAATCCCTACTTGTTTCCCTGCCCGATTAATTGGTACTTACAGTTAGAAGCTTAATTCCTCACCCTCCAAACCAGCCTCGCTAAGATTCCTTTGAAACACCCCTCAGAAACAATAGTGGTCATTTACTTATTAACACCCCTCTCGCTTTGTAACATTCTTTTCTGTGATGATTAACTTCTGTCTCCCATGTTACATGATTATCTCAATAAGGGCACATTTTGCTCACCATTTTAACCCCAGCGCAGGTTGATGCAAAGTGGGTGCCCACATGTATTTACTGAGGGGGTGAATTAGGAAGGTTCTAATGGGTTGTCAAGAGAATCTGGGTGATTACTTGGAGGGAGAGCAAAAGGCATACAGGTGGCTGGAGCAGATGGTTAGTAAGGTCCCTAGCAATTTTGATATCCTGTGCTTTCTGCATGTTTGATTCAAATTTTCTTAATTACACTTACCCTGTTTTATCATCCAGGGTCTGCAAAACTACCTATTGATGATATTTGCATTTTTCATCATCTTGAGTGGAGCATTATGCACTGCTTTCTCTAAACTCTAACAATACAAGACTGGCAGATGGCAGCAGTAGGTAAGAGAACCCTGCTGCAGGGCTCTGAGTGATCATGCTGAGAAGAGAGTTCATTTTCTTACAGCAAATGGATCTCAACCCGTCTTGGACTGGATAAATGATTTTTTTTTTTTCCACAAATGTGAGAATAAAGGAAAACTAAGTTTCGGTCAAATATAAAAATGGAAAATTCTTCTAATGAACTCTTTATGATGGTAGGACTTTACGGGGTGACGAAAATGTCCACCTTACAGTATTACAGCTGAGAGTGCTCCTTTTACCACAATATTGCTCGGTGTTGCATAAGCAGCAAAACAGTGTGGAGTTCATCTACACAAAGAATTTTGTGTAGATGAAAATTTCCAACATATTACCAAGTTTCCAACATATTACCCTCGTTAATGAAGAGAGGCAGAAAAATGTTGGGGAGAGAAATGGGGAGAAGACCTTACCTTATAATGGAATTAGATTCCAAAGCTATCTAGATCCTTGGCCAGAAAAAGTAAACGTCAGAGTCGGTAACTGAATATGAAAAAGGCCATTTCATTTTTTGCCCAAACTTATTTTTACTTCAAATTAATATTGCTCAACTCTACGTCACCCCCTCATCTTAGCTCAAAATGTTTTTGATTATCTCCAGATAAAATCCATCTTCAGAGAACAAAAATTTCCAACCATTGAGAATATGTGTATAATACATATACAGACATATACAGTTACACATAAATACACACATATATGTCTGTATGATTCCAAACTTGGGGGAAATTCTAGAGTTGCTATAGTGAGGGTCTAGCTTATTAGAGTAAGAATTTGCAGGGATCAAACACTTCTTTGTATGTAAAATTTATTTTTTTTTTTCTGAAATACACTTTTCTAAAATCCCTTTTTAAACTGGAAGTTTTCTTCCACTTTTAACTGGTGGTTTCCATTAGGGAAAAAAAAATAATGGACATGTTATTTTTATATATATATTCAAAAGAGACAGAATACCACTAACCCGAATGGATTTCATCTTCATTGTATGACTTTGAAGAAGTTCCTGAGCCTCCTGTATCAGATTCCTCATCTATAAAATGGACATAATGATAATGATAATGTTATTGTAAGGTTGGGATTAATTAAAATCTGTAACATGTTCATGAGTATCTGGCACTTGGCAAACATTGTATAATTCTTAACTATACTTGTTATCTACTGTTTGAGAAAGAAAATGTGTCTATAGATTGGAGAATATTTTGTAAGAGCTATGCCCTCACCACCAACCCATCTAAACAACTAATTATTATTCATTCCTCTATTTGAGTGCAATTTAAGTAATGATACTGGATTCTCTATTTCATTATTGAATTCTTTGTAACACCTTACCAAAACTCATTTTAATTTTAACCTGAAATATTATTATGTTGATAACTTTAAATAAATTGACATGACACAAAAGCTATTTTGCTAACTTAAATATATTTTCAAATTTCATATTGATAGCGTTTAATTATTCTGTAGTGGAGAATGCCAATTTATATGCAAAATTTTAAATGTGAAGTAAGGCAATTGCAGAAGAAAAATGAAAAAAAAAATCTTATTACCACTATACAGTTTCTGCTACCACACAATGCTTTTATTGTTAGTAAGAGGTAAGAGTAGTGTGCGGGGGAAAAAAACAAGCTTTTCAAAATGGTTACCATGCAGAAAACTTATTACGTAGAGGTTAGTCTAAACAGGTGATTATCAAATCTCCACTTTCCTTGCTCAATTTAAGAAGTTAACACCTGTCTCTCTAGAAGTTTTTTTGTTTTGTTTTTTAATGGGGATTTTTTATTATTATTCATTTGAGACACAGAGATAGAGAGAGAGAGACAGCATGAGCAGGGGGAGAGGCAGAGGGAGAGGGAGAAGCAGGCTCCCCGTCGAGCAGGGAGCCCGATGCGGAGCTCGATCCCAGGACCCCGGGACCATGACCTGAGCCGAAGGCAGACGCTTAACCATCTGAGCCACCCAGGCGCCCCTCTCTAGAAGTTTTGAGGCTTTGTTTTTCCTTGTCTAGTATGGTCAAATTCTTGTGTTTTAACTTTTTCTTGCTGGCTTTCTGTCTCTATTTATAGAGAAGGTACTACCTTAAGTAGGGAAGTGGTAGCCCAACTCATTGGGCTGGCATCCAGATTATGGGAATTGTTTATTATCAAAATAAAAACTCCTAATTTCTCAAAATTCCTAATGAGTTTTATGGAATTATTAAGTACAGCATTTCCCTGGAGTTACCAAATCTCCATGTATTCTTCTTGTATTCATTTATTTGTTCTTAGAATTGCTAACTACTAGACCTGTATGTATCAGTATTGGTGAGCTGAAGAACACATTGAGTTAAAAAGGCAAATTGTAGAACCATGTGCACAGTATGATACCATTTAGGTAAATTTTTAAGAATCAAAGTAATTTATATTTTTTCTATAAATACCTATATATGCAAAAAATTAGAAAAATACATATACAAAGTTCATAATGATATTTGACTCTAGTGAGGATGAATGAGATAAGAAGGGCAACACTGGGGTCAATGTAAACTTAAGCATTATCTGTAATACTCTAATTTTTATAGCAATGAATTCATATATTCTTTAATATGTGTTAAAGAGTCAATAGCAAAAGAGCTCAGGACATGTGCCTAATGTTAAAGTAATTAAGACTAGGGGCACCTGGGTGGCTCAGTCATTAAGTGTCTGCCTTCAGCTCAGGTCATGATCCAGGTCCTGGGATCGAGCCCCGCATCGGGCTCCCTGCTCAGCGAGAAGCCTGCTTCTCCATCTCGCACTCCCCCTGCTCGTGTTCCCTCTCTCTCTGTCAAATAACTAAATAAAATCTTAAAATAAATAAATAAGTAAGTAAGTAAGACTAAGTAAGGAAAATATGGGTGTATTTTATTTTCCTCTTCATTTTTTTTAGTACTTTTTAATTTCAAAGCAAGCATGCACACACACATGCACACACAAATAAAAGAGATCAAGGCAAAGTTGAGAAATTTCCCAACTTAAAAGTCCTACCGTCTAAAGATAGAATCTAGAAACTCACTTTTCTAGCCTCCATTGCAGTAGGATGTGTCGTTCCTGATTATGTAGCCTCCTCCAAATAGACAAAAGTAATCTAAAATGACAGAAAACAAATTATGGTGGCCTGAGGCATGAGGGTTAACTACAAAGAGTATAGGGAACTTTATGGGTTGCTGGAAGAGTTCTGTATCTAGGTTGTAGTGGTGATTACATGAGTGTATATCTTTGTTCATAACACTGTCCACCTAAGTGGGAGAATTTTATTGGATGCAAATTATACCTCATTAAAGTTGATTAAAAGTCAATTAAAATAGGCTATATTTGTGTGTGTGTGTGTGTTTTAATGAGGCCAAATTTCTTTTTTTTTCACTGTTTAAGGAATTTTTATTAAAGCAAGAATTTTATAATCCAAATTACGTTTCCTTGCTCAGTTATCAATTCTGTTATTTAAAACAGAAGTGACATTCTGAGCTATTCCACAGTAAAGAATTACAAAATTAAAGAAAGGAATGCTTTAAATTTTTGCACTTTACTTAAAAATTCTTTTTCCCAGGGTCTATAAAACATTAATTTGTTTTTATATTTTACTATTTTTTTTGTTGTTTTTAAATTAGTAAGTAATCTAGGACTAGCATTATGTTTGCTAGACCTGGCATTTGCTCGGTACATAAGATTCAAAGTTTTCTTTCCTTTTTTTATTTATTTTATATTTTGCAATTTTTTTTTCTAAAATGTTTAAGTCTTTCAATGTTTAGATATTTTTCTTCGGTGAAGCACGAGTTTCTTCTCGTGGTCCCTGATCAATTTTAAACAGTTGGAATACCAGTGGCACTGTTAGCTGCTTTCTGGGCAGCGTCTTTAGCTCGGTGGGCTTGTAGTACAGCTACAGCTTCATCTACTTTAGAATGGAGAGACTCTAGAGACTCAAGCAGATGAAGAAGTTCTGAATTATCAATCTCCAACAACATGCCAGTGATTGTACCAGCAAGAGTAGGGTGCATGGCTTGAATTAGAGGAAAGAGCCGTTCATGGTGAATGAGGCCAAATTTCTGAAACAAGGGTTTTAGGTAGCTCACAGAATATCCAGTAGGACCATGGAATTGACCTTGGAGGCTACATAATCAGGAATGACACATCCTATTGCAAGAAAGGATGCTATATTTTGCGAAATTTTTTTTGCATCTTTTGAGATGATCATGTTTTTCTTTTTACCCTGTCAATATGGCAGATTACATCGATTACTTTTCAAATATTAAACCAATTTTGCATTCCACTAGTAAACACTACTTGGTCATGATGTGTTTTAGCCTTTCTCTAAATTGTTGGATTTAATTTGCTTTTGTGTTCATGATGGATATTGGTCTGTAATATCAGGGTAGTGGCTTTAAAATGTTTGCTAAGAATTGATACTATTCTTCCTTAAATGTTTGGTAGAATTCAAAAGTAAAGCTATCTAGGTCTCATTTTCTTTAACATATATAGGTTGATTCAAGTCATCTATTTCTTCTTGAGTGAATTTTCTTAGTTTTTGTCTTTCAAGGAATTTACTCATTTCATATACATTGAGACATTATTAGTATAATATTATTTATAATATTCCGTCATTCTCCTTTTCATATCTATAGGATCTATAGTGATATCCACTTTCTCATTCCTGATATTGGTAATTTGTTCTCTTTTTATGAACATTCTAGCTAAAAGTTTATCAATTTTATTCATCTATTCAACAAATTAGCTCTAGATTTACTTGAGTTTGCCCTACCCTGTTTTCCTCTTCAATTTCATTGATTTGTGTTCTTTTCTATTATGTATTCTGTTTCTTATAAGTTTTTAACTTGCTCTTATTCTCCACCCCTTCCTCTTTTTCTAGATCTCCAATTATACATACATATATTCTACCTGCCTTGACCTTCCCAAATTCTTATTTCTATCTACTCAATTCAGGGAGCCTGTCGGGCCCTGTGTTCCCCCTTACAGCACTGCAGCCTGCAAACTCTATCTAGGCAGTAAAATTAAAAAATTACAGTGCTCAACTTATTTGTTTCCCCTTCTGACAGGGATCATGGTCATGTCCTGCCTATGGTGCAGTGTTTCATACATTTTACCCATTTTGCTATTTCTTTAATGTATAAAGATTAACATGGTTCCTATTACTCCATCTTTACCAGAAGTAGAAATTCTCTGATTAGCATTTTGTTACATTTTAATTTCAACTTCTCTTTTGTCACATTTTCATGAACAGCAACATCAAAGAATAATTAGTCATTGTAGTTGGTTGAATATGGCTCCCCAAGAAATATGTCTAAGTCCTAATTTCCAGTACCTGTGAGTATGACCTTATTTGGAAATAGGGTCTATGCAGATGTAATTAAATTAAGGATCTCAAAATGTGATCATCTTGGATTTAGGATGGACTCAAAATCCAATGACTAGTATCCTTATAAGACAAAGGAAAGAGATTATTTGATACAGAAACACAGAGAAGAAAGCCACATGAAGATGGAGGCAGAGATTGGAGTGATGTAACTACAACCCAAGGAAGGTCAAGGATTGCGGGAAGCCACTGAAAGCTAGGAGGCAGGCATGGAAAGGGGTTCTCCTTCAGATCTCCTAGAAGGAACCAACCTTGCCAGACTTTTAGCCACTAACTGTGAGAGAATAAATTTCTGTTGTTTTAAGCCATCAAGTTTGTGATAATTGTCCCATCCCTAGGAAACTAATCCAATGAGCATACAAAATAAGACGCACGAATGCAACCCATAACCTTTAATACTGGCAATACTACTACTCAGATAAAGATGTTGGCTAAGCTGCAAAGCAAACGTAGAGTAAGTAGAAAAATTACATGGTATGAAGGTCTCAAAAAGTGGCTTTTTGTCTTTAACAGAGTTGAGTATTTCATCTTTAGACAGTACAGGATGGGGCGTACCTCTCTTCCTCTATAAAATGAAATGGAATATGTGAGGTGATTTTTGTTTGTTTGTTTGTTTATTTTTAAGGGAAAAAAAATGACCTGGAATGTTGTATAAAGCATTTTAGGCACACATCTCTGTATACAAAAAGCAGTGACAGGAATTCGATAAAAGGAGTAGGATCTTTTTTTTTTTTTTTTAAGTTTCTTGATATTGACAGGAAGATTCTTCTTGCAGACAAAGGACATCAGAGCTAACTTGGTTGTTTTTTTAGCTACTGAAGTCTTCATGTGGGAATGTATCTCATTTTCTGTTGAAGACAAACTGTCTCTCTGGACAAAAGTTTAACTCCTATCTTTTTAAGCATCCTGAGGAAGTGAAAAATAAAATTGAACAGAGAATTTTAATATGTGTTTTGTGGCTTACTTATCACTTGTTTACACTGATGCTAGAGTAACCTTTATATACTTGACTCACATGATTATGGAGGTTGAGAAATCTCAAGATCTGCAGTTGGCAATCTGGAGCCCTGGGAGAGCTCATGATATAGTTACAGTCCAAGTCAAAAACCTGAGAAGGAGAAGCACTGATGGTGGAAACTGCTGTCTGCATCTGAAGGCCTGAGAACCAGGATAGCCAATACACTAAATTCTACTCTGAGTCCAGGTCCTCCAAAGGCAGAAGAAAACTCCCATTCCAGCTCAAAGACGTTCAGGCTGACAGTGAATTCCCTCTTATTCAGCCTTTAATGAATTGGATGAGGCCTCTGACACGGGAGAGGGCAATTTGTTTTACTTAGTCTACCAATTCATGTGCTCGCTTCGGCAGCACATATACTTAGTCTACCAATTCAAATGTTAATCTCTTCCAGAAACACTCTCATACACACACCAGGAATAATGTTTAACCAAACACCTGGGCACCCTGTGGTCCCGTCAAGTTGACACATAAAATTAACCATCACACGTATGGTAAGCCATTTTGTGTAATTAGCTCTTTAACCATAAAAAGAATTTTGAGTTTAAACCCTTAAGTACACTGCTTGGTATTACTATTCCATGAAGATTGTTTTATAATGTGTCTGAGACTATAGTAAAAACATGTTTATTATAAACACACAAAAGAACGTGGAATTCTTGGGAAGTTTTCCTCTGGGTTCTACCTGGTCTGACAGTAATTAGAATTTCACTTGCTTATATTGAGCAAAGGCTTTGGAGTCAGGGAAGTAAGGAACCTAAAAAAATATGGTTAGAACTTTTTTAAAAATTACGCAGTCTGAAGAAGGAAACTCAATATATTCTCTCCATATACATAGTGTATTTCTCAATTGAAACACGACATATAGCTCTTGAAAGAAAAAGTAAAGAAAAAAAAAAAGACTAAGTTGTCACTTACTTGAATGGACACAGCATTATGAGATTGGTGGTCAGTTCATTCATGATAAATTTTAAAAATACATAAAATGTTTTATTTTGTATAAAATTCCATAAATTTTGAGTGTAAAAACATGTTAAGACTATGTTCAAAAACTTTATATTTGGTTCAAAATATGATATAGTAAGACAAAGAGGTTTTGGGGGATCTTTGAGGATTAGTTTCATTGAGGCAATTTATTAAATTTGCATGTTGATAGAACATGGACAAGAAGCATTGAAGAGACAGTAATAGCCCAACAAATAGAAAAATTGTAATTGAATATGACATTTACTTTATTGAGGCACAATTTATATACAATAAATGCTCACTCTGATAAATTTTTACAAAGTTAAACATTTGACCTGCCATGACACAAATCAAGTTATAAAGCCTTGCTTCTATCACCCAAGAAATTTCCCTCATGGCTCTTTGTGGTCAATTCCCCAGGCCTACACCTTCTACATCACCCCACACCCCGCACACATCATTTTAGGCGATCACTGTTCTTCCACCATTATAAATTTTGCTTGCCCTTACAATATATATAATGGAACCATAAAATATGTTTCCTTAGTATCTGGTTCTTTTCCCTCTGCGTAATGTTTTTGAGACTCAGATGTTTTGTTGTATGTCAATAGTTGGTCTCTGTTAATGAGTAGTATTCCATCGCCTTTTATGAATATGCCACAATTGGTGTATCCACTCTTCTCTTCATAGACTACGAACACTCCTGCACTAGACTTTCTGTGGATATATGCATGCATTTCTTTTAGACATATACTGAGGAGATGAACTGCTGGGTGGAGGTGAGTGAACATTGAGAAAAGAGGCCCTGATTGATATTCAGGAACTGACTGGCCCAGTACTCTCAGGCCTTGGGGTTCTGTTGAATGGAAGCAACTTCACAGAACATCACCATCAGACAAGGCCACCCTGTGACCAAGATGGATCAAGAGAAAAACAATCATGTCTGAACATAGACAAAACAGAAATACTGTCTGAGCCACAAAATTCTCCTTCTGGATGAGATGCTCATGACAGCTATGGCCTCTCTCTCGTCTTCCCCCCTCCTAGATAAGATTTATAAAGACAGTCACAGAATTACCCATTTCCTGAGAGCATCCAATCTGGAACAAAGCCCCACATCCTTAAACCCACTCCAAAACCACCTAGCAGAGTCTCAATCCTAATTGTAATTACCAATATACACAAAATAGGGAAAGGAGGAAGATGTTAATGACACCACAGGAACCAAATCAGTAAAATAGTAAGTGTGGGAAACTGTACGGGACAAATGATGACTTGATTCCTTCAACAAATGCACGTGTGTGTGCACGTGCTCATGTATGTACATATGTATTTCTGTACATCTATATAATATACATTTAGCTGCTTATATATACACGTGTGTGGAGGTGTACATTCAGAGAGAAAAAGAGAGAAGGGTCTATAGATTTAAAACAACTTCATAGACATGTGAACCAAAAGCAATATCTGACCTTATTTCAATCCTTATTTCAATAATAAAGCAATTAAAATTTGAAAACTGTCCAAATAAGTTATCTTGAAATATGTTTAGGTTTGATAACAGTATTTTGATTACTTTTTAAAAGTGTCCTTTTTTAGAAATTCAAACAGAATTACTTATGAATGAAATCAAATGAGGTCTGGGATTTGTTACAAAATGCTACAGGGGTGGGGTTAGGTGGGTGGGCTTTTAATAACAAAGTTGGACTTCATCGATAGTTGCAGAAAGTGGTTGATGGGTGGTGTTATGTTATCATTTGCACATTTGTGTATGTTTGAAATTTTCCCTAATAAAAATTAAAAACATTTTTTAAAGTTAATATCCAGTGGACTAAAAATAGCCTGTCATTTACTTAATTTGCTTTTCCTTTATTACTTGTTTTAACATTTTTCTGTTGAAGTTTTCACCTAGATGAATTGACATTTTGTACTACAATCCTTTGATCTATTAAAATATTAATATTTTCGGGGTGCCTGGGTGGCTCAGTCGTTAAGCGTCTGCCTTTGGCTCAGGCCATGATCCCAGGGTCCTGGGATCGAGCCCCACATCGGCCTCCCTGCTCCGCGAGAAGCCTGCTTCTCCCTTTCCCACTCCCCCTGCTTGTATTCTCTCTCTCGCTGTGTATCTCTCTGTCAAATAAATAAATAAAATCTTTTAAAAAAAATTAATGTTTTCTTCTGGATTTGCATGCATTCCATATATATTTTTTTTAAATGTGGGGCCCCTGGGTGGCTCAGTCTGCCTTCTGTTTAGGTCATGATCCCAGGGTCCTGGGATGGAGCCCCACATCGGGCTCCCTGCTCAGCTGGGAGCCTCCTTCTCCCTCTCCTTCTGCCACTCCCCCTGCTTGTGATCTCTCTCTCTCTCTTTCTCTGTGTCAGATAAATTTAAAAAATCTTAAAAAATAAAATAAATAAATAAATAATGCTCCTCTTTCTAGTTTCCCATCTGCCCATCTCCTCAAAAGGAGCTTTTATTTCAGCTTAAGTACACTCCAGTCATTTCTTTGATACAATACATGTCTTCACCTTCTTCTTTACAGTCTCACTTTCCTTAAACCCTTCTTGTCTCTCCCCAAAGCTACAAGCATCTTAATCTCAAGATACATTTCTGATTTATCTTTGTAGTTTCACCTTACTGATTTAGGTAGCCAACGCAATATTTTTTTTTTTAAAGTACACAATGAATGTTTATTGAATGAATTAAAATAAGCTAAATCCCTAAGGCCTTGTTTGGTGCTAAAATTATCTTCTATCACATATTTAGGTTTTATATTGAAAGAAGTTTATTGGAGAAAAATTAAGATACTAAAATTCAAGACCATTTATAATTTCACTGTGTAACTTCTTTTAATAAGAGCTAGCAACCAATTAATACAGTTGATAAAATTTACAAAGTTTAATAGGAAACCATTTTAAATCCTCGATCAGAAAGAACAAAAGTAAAACATAGTTTCTGTCATATCTTCCTTAGTTAAAAACATGTCTTATGATTAGAGTAAGAAGAGGAGCCAAATAAAATTATTTATACATTTTAAGGATTGTTTTTTTGTAAGACTCAAGGAATATATTAGTAAAAAATTTTGTTGGCTCTCATAAGAAATTATCCAAGATGATGTTAAAACTAAACAGCCAAGAAAATACAGGCTTTAATTTTCTCTAAATAAAAAAATTAATATTCCAAGTAATCTCGGAATTAAAAATCTTGTATTTCTTAAAGCTGTAATGAAGTATACATATTTATTTTATTTACTTATTTATTTATCTTATTTATTTATTTATTTATTTATTTATTTATTTTGCTTAAGGATCAATACTCTAAGATATGTCTAATGTTTATATACAGTAAACAAAAAGCACTAGGTTTGGTTGCTGGGTTAAGATTCTATATCCTGATATTCTTTGACAATCATGTATGTGTCTGTGTCCCTAAAATTTTCATTTTAATGTGCATGATAAAATAAGGCATTAAATAAGTCATAGCCTACTTCCCTAAAAGGAAGTAGCCTAAGAAATCTAGAAAAATATTCTTTCCTATTATTTCTACATAAATTGTAACATACATGAAAACCTAAATCCGAAGTATATAAACGGTGTCATCCAACACAACTTACTACTTACAGCCCCTGCATTATAGTTGAAAAGTTTAGAACAATTATGACCTCTCCAAAGAGGAGCCATTCAACTTTAATAATTAGGAGAAATGTCGTAGTCAAGTGAGTTGGTTAAAACGAAATATTCACTCAAAGTGAAGCATCTGTTTGCCTCGCCTTTAGTTATTAATGTGTATTAAATAATCATTCATTTAATTCATCTGTAAAAATACATTTTCAATTTTGACCACCAGAGGACAGTGCAGGCTTAATTGTGATGGTCTTTATGTTTAAAAAAAAAATGTTTACTTTTTTTTTCAGTTTGGGCTGCC